GCATCAAAGGAATGCTGTTTGGGTAATATTGAGGAATACTGAAGGGAAAACTGTTTTTTTTTCTACTTTGGACAAAGGGAAACCCATTCATGTGATTGGTTTCACTCAAGGACCTGGATGTACTTGGTAGGTGATGCTGAAGAATGGAGAAGTTCATTGTGTACCTCAGGGAAATTTAACCCTGGGTGAGAATACTCAATTTTGAGCTGTGTGGTGTGAAGCACTATGTAGTACTAACAGCATTCAATATGAGTTTTACAGGATAACACAGCCATGACAAAACCTGAGCTAACTTCCTCAAGTGGCATCCAGCAAACTCTTCGAGGTGGACATGCTACCTGTTGGCACAAACCACTATGAATTTTATACCATTTTTCCTGCTCTGAAAGACTGCTGTGATACATGGAATCCTAAAATTCTGAACTAAATGAATTTTACAAAGTTTTCCATATATAGATAAACCGTAAATTAGTGATCTGTGTATATATTCAAAGATTAAAAACGAAGCAGCAGTGACCTGAGCATGATGCAAATGGTATGGAATAAGGGGTGGAAAGTCCTGGTTTGAGGTAAAATTGAACCCACCACTATGAATTTTATATCATTTTTCCTGCTCTGAAAGACTGCTGTGATACATGGAATCCTAAAATTCTGAACTAAATGAATTTTACAAAGTTTTCCATATATAGATAAACCGTAAATTAGTGATCTGTGTATATATTCAAAGATTAAAAACGAAGCAGCAGTGACCTGAGCATGATGCAAATGGTATGGAATAGTGACGAAACCTGAGCTAACTTCATCAAGTGGCATCCAGCAAACTCTTTGAGGTGGACATGCTACCTGTTGGCACAAACCACTATGAATTTTATATCATTTTTCCTGCTCTGAAAGACTGCTGTGATACATGGAATCCTAAAATTCTGAACTAAATGAATTTTACAAAGTTTTCCATATATAGATAAACCGTAAATTAGTGATCTGTGTATATATTCAAAGATTAAAAACGAAGCAGCAGTGACCTGAGCATGATGCAAATGGTATGGAATAAGGGGTGGAAAGTCCTGGTTTGAGGTAAAATTGAACCCATTTCCTTTTCAGTCATTTTATTTTTCAGTGAAGTCTCTTCTAACTAACTGCACCTTCTGAAATTAACAGCATATTTTTCAGACAGGTATCTGTCTGAAAGATACCTGATGTGTATAGTTACACATCTGATGTGTATAGTTACTACCAAGGGATGGTATGCAGAGAGGCTCTTGCTTATATTTGCTCCTATAAGAGCCAGGGTCAGGCGAAATTAACAGCATATTTTTCAGACAGTGCCCACCTGTAGAGATAACATCTGATGTGTATAGTTACTACCAAGGGATGGTATGCAGAGAGGCTCTTGCTTATATTTGCTCCTATAAGAGCCAGGGTCAGGTAACTTTGCTTTGTACCAAGCTCCTATAAGAACCAGGGTCAGGTAACTTTGCTTTGTACCAAGTTGGAGGGTCGGAAGCAGAAAAGCGTAGAGGGGTCTCAGCTGTGGGGAGGAGGGGACAGGAGAGGTGGCCCCAAACCTGACCAACAGGGTGTTCCATCCCATCTGCCCCGTGCTCAGGGTAAAAGCTGAGGGGTCGGCCTCTCTTCAAAGGCCAGTGTGCAAGGAGGACTCTGTCTGTCCGTCTGCCTTTGATCACAATCCACACATTCCTGAATCCAGAGCTGGAATCCAGTTCCCATCCATCGCTGAGTCCACCCTGGGACTTTTCCAGTGCCTGCCAGTAGCATGATCATCATCCTGGGAGCTAGATACTGGTTTTGTATATATTACATTATTTCCTTATTAATATTATTATCTTTTCTTTTTACTATTATTATTTCATTAAGGTAATTTAGTTTCTCTTCGGCCCATATGTCTTATTCTCTCTCTCTTCTCTTCTGGGAAGGGAGAGAGAGGTTAAAGAGAGTGTCTGTCATTTGTGTAGTGGCCAGCCCAGCCCATACCACGGCACTCAGAGAAGAGAGAAGGGGAGAGGCAGTTCTGCTGCAGCTTTCCTACCCTTCACTCCCCTCAGAAGAGGAGGAAATCTTCCATGCTGGGGCCCTTACCTATTAGAAATACACTAATTGCCACATACATCAAAAGATCTCTGACCTACCCCTCTAGCACCTGAGCTCAAGTTCAGACAGAAGCAATACACTAAGCCCTCACTGTTTCCTTTCCATTACAACAGGATTCTGGATGTCTAGCCCAAAATGTAGTTTTATTAGGAATGAAAGAAATATATGGGAATGATAAAAATTGGAAGTTTTATCCTTAAAAAAAAAAAATATCACAAAAGACAGCATTGTCAAAGGTAAATCATTATTGTCAAGCAGCTTGACAATATGATGTAAAGAAGAAAGATACAACATGCAGGTTCTACCACTAGGGAACTGCAAGCCCAATTATGTGGTACAAATGTAATTTTGCAGTGCAAAATACGTGACGAAACCGTTCACATGACAAGCAAATGCCTTCTATTTCGAAAGAAAAATCAGCTTGTAGCTTTAAATCTCATGTGGAAAACAAGTGCTTAAATCATCAACTTGAGCACTCTTTTTAAATGACCATCTAACATGAAAATGGAGCTCTGAAGTCAGTGGGGTGCTGCTGAAGGACATTAATGCCTGGATCCTCCAAAGCATGTAAGTACATCCTAGTGAAACTGTGGGAACACACTAACTGTACAGCCAAAATACATGCATCTTCTCGGAGAAAGATCAAAATTATCTTTGCTGTGAGACTTTCACCTTGAGAAGTTGCTGTCTCTGGTTGAATGGACACTGCGGGTGTAGGTGGAAGTGGGAGAACTGCACATCAGGATGCAACTGTTCCCTTGTGCCCAGATTTTCTTTCAGGACACCTCGGCAGGGAGGCAGACACTGTGCTGAGCTCTCATGCTCTCTGAGTTAGGGGCAATGAGAAGGCATCCAGTCCTGCAGCACCAGCCGTGCCCTATAGTAAAACCTCAGCCTGTGCAGCTTAATGTTGATGTGAAAGCTTGTCAGGCTTGAAAATCATGCAGCCATAGGTTGCAATGTCTAAAACTGCTGCATTAAACCCGCTGTGTTCTGTGAGTCTTTAGATGTGGACATGAAGAAAAATTTACAAATTAAATAAAAAATTCTGCTATGACTTGGGAAATGCATTACTCTAAGCTCTGCAGACTGTGCTGTAAACCAGTATGTAAAACCTAAAGATGCCTGTTATGTGATTTCATGTTAGAGGTTATCAGTCACCACATCTCACATTTAACCTTCTCCAAGACAGGAAGCAGAAGTATGACTTGCCTCCACTCCTGCAGGTAATTCTCAGCAGACCACAGTGATGGAGTACACTTTCCAGGTAGTACCTGTGATACCACCCTCTTTGCAGCTCTAAACAGAAAGGGTGCATCTAGGGAATAGGAGACACGGTCAGAGAATTGTTGCATTTTGTTCATCTGCAGCTGCTGAAACATTTATAAAGGCACAATTACCCAGGTACAAACCAGAGAAACTCCAAAACCTCTAAATCTCTGCAAGCGATCAGACCGTTCCTTCCACCCAGGGACTGGCAGAGCACAATACATTTTTCAGTCACCTTCTCTCTCTGAGGTCTGTAGTCCATGCAGCACAGTCCCCCTCACCTCATGGCATGGGATTTAGCCTTCCCAGCCATCACAGCTGGACTTTTTCCCATCCTCCCTCAAAGGATCAGATTCTCAGTGGAGTAAATCAATGTCACCCTGCTAATGTCTGAGGGACCGTGCCACCGTGCAACAGCTGAAGGTCCAACCCATCTTGCTTCCTGAAAATAAACTGCTTCTGCAGTACAATTTCAAATTTACAATTTCATACATACAAATTACAATACAATTACAAATTTTGGTGTGATTACACTTTCAATAACTGTGTTAACTCTTATTAACAGCAGCTTTCTGCAAATCTAAGCACATTCACATGGCAGCCAGACCGTGAAGGGTAGGGGTTTCTTGACACAGAGTACATTCCTTCAGAACAATTCACCACAATGTTAAATAGCTAATTTCAATCTGTTCAACAGAGCTGTCCAAAATTGGCCAAATGTCTTTGGCCAATCTTAGCTACTGATATACAGGGCAAATCAAGAGAGATGTTCAAAGACCTTCTTCCTCATTTTCCTTCCACACATGGCAGTGTGGAGAGGTGCAGAAAGGGAAGAAGATAGCTAGCTACGGCTCAGATTTTCAGATAGGAAATGTGCAGGAAAATAATAAAATTAAATTATTTACTTTATGAGTGACACCTGTACTTAGCAGCCTGTGGTGAAAGTGGTAGCCAAGAACATTAATTATCTCAGTGTCATTTCCACATTTCCTACTGCACTTCTTTTACTGTGGCATGAGCAAAAGAGGTGAAACAATCACGGTGTTTTTCCTAATAGGTCCAGAATGATCCCAATACCCTGAATTTCTTCACTTCTGTGATGCCCGAAAGAGGACATTCCTACCTGAAATGCCACTTGCTTTACTGATGCATAACTTCAAGAGAAAGAAGAATGGGTAAGTAGGAATATTTTAGATACTAAGGAATAAGTAGTTTAAGAGAGCCTCTCTGCTGTCCTTTAAGCTTAGCAGGTAATTTGGCTTCTTTTACAAATAACAGTTTTGGAATGGGGAATTTCTGCCACCAACAATTATTTATACAAATGAACACTAATTCTCTATCAGTTGACTTTTTCCTCATAATTAATGAAAAATATCTTAAACCAAGTACAGATCCTGTCTTCCCTTATTGTTGCAAACATTCTGGGTGATACATTTAAGTACTTAACAGAGACATTTAAGTTAAGGGTGTGGTTGCCCTTGGCTTTCACTTTGGTAGTCAACAAGCAATGAATAAAACCTGTCAATTCCAGCTCTTAGCAGACTTGCAGTTTCAAATTCCACCTATAACAAATGAGGGGTTCAACAATTTCTTTAAAAAAAAACACTTAAGAGCTCCTGCAATTCAGAAAAGCAGATTTTATTTTAAACAGCAGCACATACATACAACATTTTCAAAATATACATATTTGAAAACAAAAGACTGCACTTCATTAACCAACTTGCTGTGGTTTATCAGTTGTTACAGCTGTATTCGCAACCGGGTGGAGTTACTGCATCATCACCTTCCTATGAGTTGGATGCTCTTAGGTTTCACTGGTATAATTGTGCAATATGCTATAACTGCTAACAGCTCATGAAAAAAATCCACACAACTTAGGAGTTAAATATTACTGTCACCTGGAGGCTTCAGCTACCTGACTAAGCATTTTAAATAGAGAAATGTTATTTGAAACAAGTGTGGCAAATCATGAACTTCGTGGAAACACTTATGCACATAATCTACAAATTTGAGTGGTTGTATACCTTTCTGAATGAAGTTTTCCAAATCAGAACTAATCCCAACAGAAGCAGCATAGCAGCATTTCGGTAAGGGAGGAAGCCAACTTCTCCTAAAACCTTTCCCTTTTATTTAGCTGCAGAACGAAGATTAAAATCATTAGAAGTTGTTCATATTTTAAAATACCATTGCATTAACATTTCTTTTCTTGCGTTTCACCACAGCTTAACAAGTGTCAGAATGTGCTACACATAAATATCCTAACCCATCCACCATTTCTTAATTCACTACAGAGATACTTTCTACATAAATCTTCTTAAAATATAATTTAAATGTAACTTTGTAATAGAAAAAACAGAACATATTGTGGGAAGATTCAGCTTGCAGGTAATTTTCAATGCGGTAGAGCTCTTAATGAAGCTCCTCAAATCATGGCAAAAATAACTCTGTTTTCTCATTGGGGGGGTGGGGTGGGCATGTCAAACAAAATGTGCAAACAGGTTAAGAATAAATGGTGATCACTTCACGTCCACTGCCTCGGACCAGGAGAACTCTATCTAGACCTTCTGTGAGAACTTCCAAAAACTCCATGTCTGAAATATCATTAAGTCAAGGAATTTATTCAGAAAAGAAATAAAAGAGCCACTAATCTCTCAAAAAGTCTGATATATAATGCAAAAAAAACCAAGTTCAACAATTTCATCAAGGAGTTTTCTTGCATCACTCTTTACCATCCCGTTATGAAATCCACCTGCTTTCTCAAGGGGAAGAGAGGACTAATTTGGGAGAAATTTCTAGTTCTGCCCTACTCACCTACAGAAAAGCTGAAAATAGAGGTGTTAAAATAAGTTCAAAATTTAAGAATGCCTTACATCAATTCAATAAAAAACCCACCTCTATCAACATTTCTTAAAACTCTGTCTGTGGAATCAAAAGTCGTTTTCTTAAAGGCACACTTATGCTTTGCTTATCATGGTTACTAATGATTATCAAAACAAGTAGACAATGGCACAATCACAAAAACCAAACTCCCCATTTTAAGAAACATGGAAGCAACACAGTAGAGGATACAGTTTTCATCCCCTTTTCTGTTTTTAGGGGGTCCAGGCATATTCAGGAGAACTAGCTGAGCGTGCTGTGATTTATTAAGCACTACTCCGTTGAGCTTCACCGCCGTGTGCATTCTTCTCACGTTTGACTGATTCCTAGCACGCAAGCAAACATTTTTAAGTATTGTCACAATACTTATGTATTTGAATTATATGTACTTGAATTTATAGGTTTAATCTATAGTTAGGTAGAATAAGCCATTTTCATGGACATCAGTATTTATACACATTCAAAATAAGTTCGAGAAAATGCAATACCTAGAGATTTTTTTCCCTTTGAAAAGAACATTTAACTCTGAAATGAAAGCAATTCTAAACAGATTGCCAAAATGCACAAATATTCCAATTGTCAGTTATCTTTCACAAAGATGAAGCAAAAACTTAGTTTCAGTAGAATTTAAGTTTAGTCAAAAAGGCTAAGAATCCAGTGCACTGAATTATATAAAAACCTGGATTTGTATAAGAAATTCCAAAGAACAGAATTACAGGAATGCAATGGAAAGATTACAGTTTTTAGATTGTACAGTACAAGATTCCCCTCATGCTCCTTTAGAAAGATTACTTATGCCTAGTGAAGAAAATTAGGAAACAACATAGAATTTATAAAAAAAATATTAGTTTCTCATGTCATGTAAGGCAGTAAGCAATGAACTGAAATTGAGTCTCTCCCCTTACATTATTAAAATTAACTACTGCTTTGCTTGTTATGTCCACAAATATAACTGTTTTAAATTTGTGCACAAGAGGAAGAAACTGCTGGGACTGCAGAGATTTCCTTATTTCATGGGACACCTTCTGAAGCGCTTGGTCAATCTGGCATCTTCTGAATTTCACTAACAGCAATCAAAATGACAGCACAAACCCCAGCGCTGGATCAGCTCAAGTAAACAACAGAAATTAACGAGATCTCTTTTCCCCAAAAAAACCCCAAACATTTAGGAGGCCAAAATCTACAAAAGGAAGCACACAACTCTGCACTATCAGAGGTCATTCCAAGGGGACTACACCGACACACTCCTAGAACCTTCTAGCAACACGAGGTGACCCTCAGATGACATAAACCAATGTGGAGTTGAGAACAGCAGCCAGAGAGAGGTTCATTCCAAAAGGGGACCAAGAAAGATGGAGAATGCTGGGAGACACATACTTGTGTTCTACTAAGGTCCCATTTCACTACAAAGGGAAAAACCATTAACAGGATACTATTACAAGTAGCATGTTTCACGACGTATTTTCATCCATGATTTTGCAGGGACAATTAGGGGGGGGAAAAAAAACCAACCAAAAAACGGCATTTTGCCTGAAGTTTAGTTGCCAGTGCAGACCAGCCCCAGCAATTCCAATTGATTCTCTTCCCCCCACCCCAACCTAAGACATTTTCAAGACTGAGTTTATCAGTCCCTCCTGGGGGATTTTCTGTCACAGCAGCTATCTGTCCTAAGAACCAACTGTAAAAAAAAAAAAAAAAAAAATCATATATGGAACAACAGAATACTTGAAGGTCAGTTTTTCAGAAGCAGAACAACAGCTTCAGAAGACCAAAGAACAACTATGATGAGAGAGGCAACAGTGTATAACTGAAAAAGTGTATAAATATTGAAGTAGAAACGTTGTTTTAACTACGGACAAAATGCAAGGGAAATATGGAGGGTGTATGTGTGATGGAGTGGGCAAGAATTCAGCACTGAAACAGAGGTTTGACTCAGCATTCAAGCACCGGCAGAACTGAAATCACACATGGCACACAAAGTACGTTTTTTACGTTTTCATAAGAAGCTCAACTCATTGAACAGACAAAATGAAGACAATAGTGGGCACTGAAAAAAAGCAAAGCAGTCTCAAGTCAGAGATGCAGTGTCCCATTTTTGTATGTTGTCATACTCGAGGTATATCTGAACTTACATTATTTCTACACATGCATGGGTTGGCAGAAGGGAGACAAGAACTGGCATTTGATGAAATGTGAAAGTTCCCTTTGTGAACAAATTCATCCTTATTGCTCAATTACTTATATGACAGTGGGGGCTATTTTTCCATAACAAAGAAAATATTTTTTTAATGCAGTTAATTAGAAAACTCAATGTTACACTCATATTTTACATTCTTACAGGAACTAAAACACATGTTCTGGACTTACCTTGAATAGAAAGTTGATAATATTTAGAAGAAAACATTAACAAGTCTCTATGAAGAATATTTTTCTGTGATAAATCCTAAATCACAGTATATAAAACAAGGTACAAAAGAATACATGCACTACAAATCATGATTTAGGAAACACACATACAACGTACAAGACCACGAGAACCAGGGAACACAGCCTACGTTGCTCAAGCAAAATGAAATTGAGACTTACAGGTTTCCCCACTCTCTACGTGGAAGGGAAGCAAATGCACAGAAAAAAAAAAAATATGCCATCAGGTACATTTTAAATTCAACAATGTTAACATATTCTACAGGAACAATGTTTGAACTGTGATTTCCACCAACCAACCGCATACAGGAGTTTTAAAATAATAATACCTGAAGGCTGTGTCTGGCACAATTCTAAAGGAGTAATAGGAAATATTTTTAAGATATTAAAAAAAAATCCAACACACCTCTAAGAATTAGAGTATAATACAAACTGGAACGAAACCAGTGCTTTAGAGCATGAGCAAGATGATGTTTGGAATTTGCAGAAGGCAAACTGAATAGCTCAGAGCAAATCCACAAAACGACCTAGGATTTTAAGGTACCAATTCTAAGCGTACCACCTTCTAACTCTACTGTCTACTAAACTTAACATATGTTCCCTTTAGATATTAAAATTTCCCTTTAGATCCACAGTTTTGCTTTGGGCACGTGCAGAAGATAGTCTATGCCATGCTTATAACTGCATTTCTCCAGAACTCAGAGGACACATGTGTGTGCTTGGAGCACAGCACGAGCAAACAAACAGGCTGATGCCTTTCTGTCATTGGTTTGTGTCTACTTCATCAGGCTTGGGACAGGCAGCAGCTCTTACCTATTAAGTGACTTCTATTTGAGAAAAAGACATTAAGGAATATTTCAACAAGAAATATTTAATATAACAAGACACATATGTATAATCACAAATTTTATACTGATTTAATGATGAGGGACCAGTGTTCATTTGGGAAAAAAAAAAAAAAAAACCAGAAAAAAAAAGCTCCAACCAAAACATAAACTAAATGTCTTGAAAGAGTCTATGTGCTTTTGGTACACTTTCTACCCCAACAAAACACGATGACACAGGTAAATGATACACAGTAATTTGTTACCCACCAGAAGTGAGAAAACACAGAAGTTATTATTAAGCATTTTAACATATATGCTTCCTGGTACAATCCAGAAGTCTACAGCTTGAAGTCTGTCATATTTAAGCTTCATTCACAACATTCCTGTGAATGACTCTTCACAGCCATTGCTGTTCCACCCAAGCCCATCCTAGTTTCATAAGGATGGCATTTAAGTGCGTGGAAAGATCATGTTTGTGCTCAATTTTAAATGAGCCAGAATCTCTTAAAAAACAAAACCCAGACCAGCACCACCACACCAAAGGAAAAAACACACACTAAAAAACACACTCGAACACAAAGCTCCAAACACCACACGTATACTTACGGCTTCATGTTGAAAATATCTTTAAAGCCAGATATATTTGAATCTTTGTTTTTATGCTTTTCAGCAACCAACTTTTCTTTAGTCCAGGTCATTTGCACTTTTTCTGGCACAGCAGCTTTGACCGCTGGAGCCGAGCGCGAGGCAGTGTTTCTGTCGTGGATCAGCTGAGCCTGGCCACAAAACAATGACCCCAAAATTCAGCAAAAGAGAGCATTTGTAGAGGGCACGCTATTAAAATTTTGAAAAGGAATATCGCAGCAGTGAAACAAAAGAAGGTACAGAAAAATGCACCTTGCTTCATGAACAAATACCAAACTATGAAATGAAACTGCTTGTAAAAACGTAGTCATTTGTTTATATTTCCAGGATTACAGCTGGGCTGGGATGTTATTTTTGTAATGAGCTGAAGCTGAAGGCAGCCTAAGGGTACTTGATTAACACCAGGGCTTTTCGCCAGTGAAAAATTTAAAAGCCAGTGCTCTCATTCTTCATCAGTTACACGGTTGTTTTCTCACCTACTGTCACAAGCACTGCCCATTTCAATGCCTTTAGCTGATCTACCAGCCTGACTCTCATGACCCCAGTAACACAAAACTGGACCAGCTGAAGGCTAGCTGTGTTCTATTAAGTTATTTATGCATGCAATTAGCATATCACCTAACAAAAGGCAATCAATCTAACCACGAAGGGGCCTTCTCTTCCCTTCTAACAGCAGAAATCCAAATCTCAACTTTAAGAAACCAATATTGTTGTTTTCACATGCATACTGGGTTTTCCATTTCCCATTCCCCTTGGTCTTCTTGAGGAGAGAAGGAAGAAATATTTAACACGTTATTTACTTACTTTCCCTCATAAAAATTTGTCTATAGACTTCTGTATTTCCTTCAAAAGCAACACAAATATAGTACCAAAGACTCTTAAAATCATGAGTGAATTGGTATGGGGGGAGGATTGGTTTTGCATTTTGCCATGTTCTGGTTTGGTGGGGGCTGGGTTTTCCTTTTGATATGTGTGTGTGCGGTTGGTTGCTTTAGGGATTTGTTGTTTTGGTAGGGTTTTTTTAGTTGCTATTTTTTGTTTGCTTGTTAAGTCTTTAGCAGTTATGAAGTCTCTTCAGAGACTTGTTAAATCATGAGTTGAAGCTCCTGTTCCACTTGGGAACCTCAATTATTCCCATGTTAGTGATGGTCATTCCTCTCCATACATGTGATGATTCAGAAGAATCAGTTTCATTCAGGTCAATCAAAAGCATGCATAAAATCAAAGCAGATGAGAAAACTACTTTCTGTCTCTGAACAGCGATTTCCCTAGTGGTTCACAAACTGTAACTGCAGCTTGTTTTACAGCCCTAAGAATTTCTGTATTTTTCCTAAATTATTTCCCTAGTCCCTATCCTTCAGGATTCCCAAATCCTTCAGTTCAGTTCTGAGGTTCACATAAATATCTATTTATTTGACAGTCTTCATATATTCCCAGAAGATTAAATCACAAGTCAAGACTACAAATCAGACATTGCTGTGAATACAGTTCTATCACAAGAATGGAAAAAGCTAACAAATACATGTTGTAGGTGTCACACAGCAGTATCCAATAAACTAAAATTTCAAACTAACAATTGTAAAGTGAGTTCAGTGCAACAATGCTTCAATGTAAGAAAGTTCACTACTTTTAGAAAGACAGTAAGGCCAAGAGAAATTCTGGACCTATATATAGCACATGTTTATAAAAATGCTAAGACACCAAAAGCGTATTTTTGTTAGTGCTATTTTGATACCAAATAGATTACATGGAAAAATCCTACATTCTTCTCATACTTCATGAAAGAAGAGAAACACGAAGTTATACAGCATTTCTACAAACTAGGCTACAAGTCTTCACACATGAGCAACACTTCAAGTGCACACTAAAACCATTGATGGCATTAGTTCATTTCCTTTCAAACTCACCATGCAGAAAGCAGGAATGACATTCATGGGTTAATAATGGCTTGTCAATAAGCATAGAATTCTCCTTAAAAAGCCCTAGTATGGTCTCTGAGATATGGTCTCTGAGAAGCTTCAGTATAAGAACTATAAAGGAACGCAATGCTTTGTGAAAACTTGAAATACACTTATTAATGAAACACCCACTATTATGACTTTTTAAGAGATAGAAGGCAGAGAAATATCTTTGCAAGTTTTTCTTAAGAGCCAGAAGCAGTCTCAGAAACGTAAGTGTTTCTTTTATGGAAATTAAGTGTGAGAAATAGGATGTAGTTCATACCACAGAAGTGTCATCTAGGGTAAGAGAATGAATTTAAAAAATAGCAAAATTAAAATCTATGAAGAACTGTTCCATAACAATGAATGAGCAAGTTGTTCATTTGTAGTTCAGTTTGCAATAGTGGCACTTCAAGTGTTGCAATGGGAAAATGTGTCTAGCAAGTACTATGTCCAACTACCTCCTCTTCTCGAAAATCATTAGTCAGCAGTGCCTGAGCATCTTGGCCAATGGACTGTGGACTGGAGTAGCTTTTCCTTCTGATTGAGCCTCGAGACTCATCAGTGATGCTCTGAATCTGGGATAAAAAGGTTAGCAATGACAAAAAAAGCCCACTAGTCTACAGAAAGAAGCAGATGATTATATTATCCAAAACAAAAATTGGCTTCACTTAAATAGATGAGACTTTGTATTGTAGCTTGTTATAAACTTAGTTTGCTAACATGCCATTTGTTTATTTATACTATGGGACTCTTTCTGAAATGTTTAGCAGTTATGGAGTTTCTTTACAGAGATTTGTGAAAACTAAGCGAATGGAATTCTTCAGTCTATATGGGAACCTCACATATTCACTTGTGTGTGAGGGTAATATCCCTTCATATCTGTGATGATTCAGTTGAATTTGTTTTATTCAGTTACAATCAAAAGCATAAAAAAAAAAAAAAACCATCATGCAGATGGGAAAGCCGCTTTCCAGCTCCAACTGCTTTCCAACTCCAAACACTGATTTATTTCCCAGGGAGCTGCTTTCCAGCTCCAACTGCTTTACAACTCCAAACACTGATTTATTTCCCAGGGATTCACCAACTAGTTTTGCTCCTTACCTACATGCACCCACAATTTCTGCCAATCTCACCTAGCAGCAGCAGCAATCTGTGGAACAGCACTAGCCCTTTGCAAGCCAACACAAAGCAGTGGTGGGATGGACAACTGCCTTCTTGCAGCTCCAGCAATCTCGCTGCCTGGCCCAGCAGTCATTAGCCAGGACTAGCCAGAGGAGGATGCCTACAACCACCAGGAAGGGCAGCAAGGAACAAAACAGGGCTCTACTTTCTCTTTCACCTTGGCAGCACCGTTGTCCAAGTCAAATAAATAAAGACTTGACAGTTGCACCTAAGTCTGAAGAGCTTACACTTTGCAGGCTTGTGTCATGTTTAAACTTGAATAGAAGCAAATAAACCAAATTTCTCAAAAAAAGGAAACAAAGATCTGATGAGTCCCCATGCCCCAGTTCCACAAGAAAACCCAGGGGCAAGATCAAGTAGTTTCATTTTAAAAAACGGCAGAAGAGAGGAAGGTGAAGGTGATTCCTAAGGGATAACAGCATGTCTACAAAGGAAACAACAACAGAACGCTGTACAAAGGCAAGCACTCCTCTTTGCAAAGGTTTGAACGTCGTTTGAAGAGGTAAACCACAAAAGTGAGGTTAAAATACTAATCTTGCTGGTAATAGCAAAAAACAAAACTCAGGCACCATTCAAAGCTGGAAAATTAGGGTTATACTCTGTCTGGAGACAGATAACAAAAACAAAATCAATGCTAATTTGAACTAGTGATGCTAATGAGAGAAACGTTTGGAGTTCATCATAAAACCAGAGGGGATGGTTCAACTCTTTTCAGAGATGATCAGATTACAAAAGGGCCTGGCACACTGAGCACATACACTCAACACGTAGCTCCAGAGGAAGTGAAGGCATAACTAAACAACATTTTTTTGATGAAAACACAAAACAGCAATGTACATTAAGATACCCTAATCAGAAACAACACATGGATATGGCTTTTATTCTTGGACAATGCAGGAAGTAAGTACTAGATGTTCTTGGAATTAAAGGATTTTACTTCCGACCATGAAATGAATTCAATGGTATTTTGAACATCTCAGGTTTAATCCTGCCTGATGTGAAGGAACAAATTGAAGCTCTAATGGTGATAGTTACATTCAGATAAAAGTGAGTAATAAAAAAACCCAAATCATAGAAGGGAGAAGAAAGAAATTAAAAACTTCCCAAAAACAACACTCTGAAGTAGTGCAGATTCCAGTCAACTAAATGAGCTGAGAAGAAATTATTTGTCTCCCCTACAATTTACGTGCTATAGCCTTGTGTCCTTGGGCATTTTTGAGTAAGTTAAACCCTTAAAAGCCTACTGTAGATTGATTAATTGCTCAAACTCCACTGGAAAAATACTAGTGTTCAATAAAGAAATGAGAAAAAGCTAAAACTACTATGACACAGATGGGAAGAGAGAAGATTTTGAGCCACACATTATTGTTGCAATACAAGGCATCTTTAGGAACCTTAAAAAAACATCCTGAGACATGGAAAAAGGAATAAAGAAGGAGAGATTAAAAAAAGAGACTTGTACAATTAACACCAACAAGGCTTAGGCATAAAATGAGTTAGTTATCAGTAGACAAAAAAGCCACAAGAAAGAAAATCTTATTATTTTATGAATGGGAGTAATTAAACACAGTAGAGATCTCGTATTTGGCATGGGAGAGAAATCACTGTAAGTGATAGCAAAGCCAAAGCGTTTATTTCCCTTTACATCACTAAGAAGTGTTGATAATAATGGGATAGTTAACAGAATAAGTGAGGAGGTAGAAGCCAAAAAAAAAAAGAAAGCAAAAGATTTTAAAGTTACAAATATTCACGAAAATACGCATCTCATCACTGTCGTGCAAAATACCAGCAGGGACTAGTAAGGTATAGAGAAGCAGCAAATGTTGCATTCCCATGTGGATATCATAGGATTATAGGTTAGTCAGTTTAATTTTGGGTCCAGAAACAATAATTAGTTGATATATAAAACATTCAAAATAATGCAGAAACTAAAAAAATAGTCAGTGTGAACTGAACAAGACCAAGTCACAAACAAAGCTAATCATCCCAGGTGAATAATCACAAACCTTAGCTACTGATACATGTCAAGTTTCAAAATACTCTGGATATATTCCACACTGATGCTCAAATGTTCTTGTTAAGATTAGTGCAAGTATTCAATAGCAAGAACAGAAAAACTCTAAACAGCTATTCAAAACAAATTTTTTTCCCACATTATTTTAATTTTGCAAGTGAAAGCTGCTGTAGAGAAACAAACACAGAATGCAGTTGTAAAAGCTTTTGACTAGTTAGAAACTGATTAGAAGCCCCGGACAAGAAATACTACTTTCAGATTTTTCACAGAGCATTTTGTTAAGCCGAAGTCCCTACCTCTCTCTCCCTTTCGTTCTTTGACAGCTGCATCTGTTTTAGCATCTGAGACCGCTGTTCCATCATCAGTGTCTTCTCATAGGTGAACGCAGAAATATCATTTTCAAACTGCAAGAGATTGGCATTAGAAACATCAGCAGAAAAGTACTACTCAAAAGAACAAGTTTTACACAGCATGCCACACTCATTCCTGCTTTCATTCAGTCCTGGAGGAATTTATGGCATTAGAGTATTCCCAAGCATATTGATCTATCATTTCTGCCTTCATCCTTAAAACTTCACCTTCAAACTGCACTCTTGTATAATGAACTATCCTACTACATCAATATCAATGTGATTTTTATCTGAATTTGAGGTGCTTGGGACAGACTTTCCCTTGTTCTGTTCCAACTAGGCTGCAGAAACAAGAAAGAGCTGAAAGTGTTTATTTAAACTGGGTCTGCATTGTTGCCTCCTGAGCACGTGTGTCCACTTGTTTCCTTAAAAACCATTTAGAGCCACAAAATAAGACATTTTCCTTTCACCAGTTCAAAGGACTTCTGAAGAAACTCTGTCATATACTCTGACATTAGCTCAAAGCTAAAATACAACATAGAAATCCACAGCAGCCACCTGCATTGTCACAGATTCATAACACGCCTCTTATTTTACCCTGAGAATCTTCCAAAATATATGATTCACCAAAGAAAAGAATAAATTGTTCTGCATATAGCATTTTCTGCTCAAAATCCAACCAAGGCTGAGCCTTTTTTATGGCACTGTTTGCCTTCTTTCACCTGCACATACCACAGCATTTTGGTCTTTTATACTCAATACACTAAACTAAAAATAAATGGATTTATCTTAGTTTCTAGTTCAAAATTCTAACCAATTTATTCATAAGTAATTTAACCATTCTTAACACTTGCTTTATGGCTGATTAGCACAATAAATCTTTTTGATAGGTTTTGTTCATTCCAGGAACTGGTGGTGGTAGAAGTTTTGATGCAGTTGACCTGTCTTCATCTCAATTCAGGAATTTAAAAGGTTTTTGGGGCAGTATTTTTGGGCTTATGTCAGACATTATGCTAGTCACCTCGAGTGCTGGAAATTAAGTTTTTCTTCAGTTGCCAATAAAAGCAAGTCTAGACAGACTACAGTTTCAGTCCTTTCTCTTTAGCAGTTTATGACCAGTATACAAAAAGGGGAAAAAAAAGAAAATTCATTTTGTCACTATTTCACTTGTGAGTCTGTAGCTATATTGTCTTGCCGTTCAGTGCCAAAGAGGCTGGCAGTGCCAAAAACAACTGACACACTTTCACAGGGCCTTGGATTCCTTATTCCAGAGAGGTATTCACATAGCAGTTGGAGAGACAGACATCTTCATCCTCTCCCATGTTGGATGCCATGTGCTTATTAAATTAAGCACATTCAGCCATCCTTTTTTTTTTTTTTTTTTCTGATTTGAAATGTTGTTCTTGCAATCAAATGGCCAAAAAAAGTTCTATTTCAAACAAATGTCTGTACTTCATTATTTCTATGCTTTACAAATTTCTGCACCTACAAATCTGAAAGCGTCTGCAATTCCTTGGTCTTTTTTTTTTTTTTTTTTTCTTCTTTCTGAATGCACTATCACTATGGATTAGTCCTCGTAAATAAAGTAGGCATTAACACATCAAAATGGCTCAATTCTACTTGACAAAGGCATTAAACTCACTACCACATACACCAGTATTGTGATATGGTAAAACAATCCTGCTTTTAAAAAAACTTCTTGTTCTTGGTGGGACTGTGAAGTTTCCATTTTTATATTTGGGCTGACATCTCGAGTTTCAAAAATGTTTAGTCTCAATCACACCAAAAAAACCCCATATGCAATAACATACCATTTCAACAACTTCCACTTCGGCATTCAGTCTAAGATGATATAAAAACATCTGCAGATCCTTCTTCATTTGAATGCTATTGTCATCCATTTGAGCGACAGTGAAGATACGCATTTTACATTTTCTCCACACCTAACATAAAGATACATTATAAGAATCCGTAACATAGTGATTGCTGTCACCATGCATAACTATCAATGTGAAATACTATTTCATTAGAAACTCTTAGAACTATTAATTGCTAGAAAATAAAATCCCAGCCATTTTCTGTTGTCCTTGCCTTGTGCTGTCGAAGGAGAAAAGGCAGCAACATCAGCATACCACCATCATGAACAATCCACCACACATCTATGTTTCCTTCAGTAAAACGCTCTTGATTTGTTGGGAATAAGTCAATGTTTTTAGCCACCAACAGTGCTTGCTGAGCTGCTGTTGTTTCTCGCACAGTGTCTGCAAGGGAAAGCAATACATTTGATCAAGGATTTCTAGTTTTCAAATCACAACTTCTGTTTTTGTTTTAAATTCAAAAGCTTAATCCTCTCAGATTCTGCCGAGGCAAAAGAGGAACATATCCTGGGATTAGGGAAACTGCCTAGGAAAATAAGACAAGCCATAGTTGAAGAGACTGAGGGTTGAGAAAACACTCCACATGAACCCAGATGTGGGGAAATATTCACTTGTCCACTGGATGCTCAGCATCATATTTCCTCCACACAGCAAATATACTAGTTACATAGTTGTATTACAAATGCATGAGAAAGTCAATAAACACATACCAACAAAATTTTTCCATGAGAAACGATTTTCTGTCTGCTTCCATGACTGTGGCCATGCCATCAGGACTGTGTTGTGCTTCATCCCTCCCAGACCAGCTGACTGAATCAAACAGGATATTCCATCTCTGAAATTAGGAGACACCACAATCTGGCAAAATCCTTTAGTCTTTTCTACTGCCATTAAAGCCTTAACATTCTGCGGAAGGAAGATTACACATGGGGAAACAGTCATCAACACTGGTAATAAACACCATAAGGAGCACTAAATAAGAGCAAAACATTAGCTACAATGTACAACCAACGTCAAGGAAGCACAAATTCCCAAACAGTGAACATGATTCTGTAATAACCAAAACCCAAACCACCCACCTCCCCAGAAGACACCACACACAAGCTTCTCATTACTTTAGTTATTCAGCCATCTATTTCCAAAGAAGAATGAACAAGATATGAGCAAAACCACATTGACAAATAAAGTAACAGTGCTTCAGTTAAAGTCAAAACTGCTGACTGACAAAGCACCATATGTTTGGAACAACAAGTCCTTTCTTTTGGAGTTGGAAGGGTTTGAAAAAAACATGACAAGGACTTTAGAAGAAGAGGCTGCCAAAGCTCCTCAAACAACTTTGACATTAACAGAGAAATTCTGTTTAGAAGAGAAAAATAAAATCCTCAGAGAATTTGGTAGCAGAGCTAACAAGTCTGTCACTGTACAAACAGTATCTGCAAGGGCACATCAGTTTAAACAGATGCTTTTCCTTTTTAGAAAGACAGACAGGAGAAATCTTGATTTCCTATAAATCTTCTAGAAACATTTTGTAGTTGAATTTTTCGAAAACCAATGAGGCCTTCAGATGCTCAAATTTTTACAATTCATCTTCATTTCCATTTTAAAAGCAACGGTTTCCCCAATCTTAACACCAGGTCTGACTTTCCAGTCAGACCTCTTTTCTTTCCCTTAAATTAATTCCTGTTGCATCTCTCAAAAATGTAGTTGACTTCAAGTTAAGCCAACTATAGGTAACTTTTCAAATCCTCATGGGTAAACAATTTCTGTTTAAAGGTTTTCTTTGCTTTATATCAGAGGCCTGATTGTATTCTTGGTCTTGTTTTCTACTCACATGTTGATAATAATAGCTTAATAACAGTAATTTTCACAATAGATCACTGCTAGACTTTTTCAGATGCATTTTCAAGCTAATTGCTCTCTTGGAGACTTGTCATGTGATAACAGCCAGGCCACCTGGCTCATACTTTGTTATTTTAAAAACCACTAGGGACAAGTCTGAATACCAAGAGAGAGAAAAAAGAAAGCTGTGAGAAAAAGGGTAGTTTGCTTTAAGTGCATTTCAGCATCTCAAATACTGATCTATTTTAAAGATACCAGATCAGAAAAAAATCACAGACATTTTTTTACACAGCTTTGAAGACAATCAGATCTGAAAAATCAGACATTTTTTTACACAGCTTTGAAGACAACCTGGATCAAAATGTTAGACATTTCAACTGATGCTCTTTTCAACAACATTGAAGATATTAACCAATTTTGACAGATATAATGGCAATCAAATCCTACTTTTGGAGTAGACTTTACAGTAGTTTTCTAAAAGCAACAGATTTTTCAACAGCTTTAAATAAAATACATGAAACATAGTATTTTATAAAAATGTTTCCCCACTCCATAAAGTTAAGAGTAGGGAAGTACACAAATACATGAAACATAGTAAAAATGTTTCCCTACTCCATAAAGTTAAGAGTAGGGAAGTACACATAGATAAGCAAATATTATAAGCAAATTGTCTATACCAAGTTATCCCAATATTGGAATAAACAAAGTAGTACACAAGTTGCTTAAGAGCAAACAAAAAGTGAAACTTGCTTTGCACTGAAAGCCCAAGCTCTACAAGCTCAGTCCATTACCTCCCCTTTTCCTTCAGGGGACAATTCAAAATTAAGTTCAGGTGTTTTCAAGGGCTTCCCACAAAAATGTTGATGTATTTCCAGTCAGGTAGCACAATCAAATACTGACAAATTGCCAGGAAAACAAAGAAAAATATTCCAATTAAATTCACTTGTGTTTGTAAGCACAGTTAGACGTCATCTTAAACTACATGACAACTTACTATTTTTTCTACCTCATCCTACCTTCTCTGAAGATATGGGATAAACAGGAAAGAAAAAAAGAGAAAGAAAGTAAAGGATCTCAAAAAGGATGCTGTTCACAGTTAAGCAACAGAGTAGGATTCAGCAAAGACTGCTCCTAATCCTGGCTCTGCTACATAGTTCTAGGACGATGCTGAAAATACTGTGTACGCATCCAGAGGATGAAATTATACCAAAAGTATTTGCATTTGTTAGATAAATGTTGAAATTTCTATTAAATATTTCTGTTGTCTTTGTAATGTAATTTGTTTGTTTAAAAAAAAAAGTTTAGCACTTGCCTTTTTCAAGATGTAAATTTGATTGTGAGCCCAGGGCTCTCAAAAAGAAAAGCTAAGAAATACCAGCATTATCTCATCTATTAAAAAAAAAAGCTAAGAAATACCAGCATTATCTCATCCTATTGGGAAGTGTTATAAAACATTTTGCTACACCCACCAACCTGTTCTTTATATATAATCACTGATTGTGCTGATAGTAAAAACTGATTCAATACTTTACAACAGTCTGTTCTAACTCATGATGTGAGTTATCCAGATTCAACATTTAAATGCTAAGGGAAATTGCAACTGTGTGTTTGTAAGCTTTTACATACCTCTTCAGCTTTCTGAGTTTCTGTACATTTATCCAAGTAGATTCCCTGAAGCACAGAGCCCACAATAGTGAGTCCTTTACCAGCCTTCAACTGAGAGGTGAAAGAAAGCAATCTAGGGTGTTTCACCAACTGCTCACTATCCAAGTTTAACAAGACCAAAAGTTGAGGTCTGCCAATAAAAGAAGAGTTAAACACACACATATACATATAGAAAAGCTAGAAAGAATTCAAAAATTAAAATTAACTATTCATAAAACACAGATTAAGTGTTTAATTCAATAGAAAACTTTCACCTATCAAGAAAGTCAGTCATAATTTGCAATAGCAGCAAGACTTTAGGTACAGAATTCCTACATGAGCCACCATACCATCTACCTTTAAGTACAGTTTTGATTCAATAATTTTCTTGGTATAACTATCACTCTTCCAAGGTCATCTAGTGCAATTTGCTGCTTCAAGTGGGTAAGCATTGAATGCACACTAGATTGTTTATAGCTCCATCCAGTTGGATTTTGAAGATCTCCAGAGACAGAGGTATTATCACAGTTGGGTAATGGCTTCAATGCTTAATTACCATCATCTCTCCTCCTCAATTTTATCATGTTCTCTCATTCTTCTACCATATACTGCTGTAAGGAGCCTTGACTCCATCTTCTCAGTAATCTTCTTCTAGGTATTGGGTGCTTACAACTTAAAGCTCAGCCCCTCCCCACAGGAGACACACTCCTGTGCCTCAACCATCATCTCAGCAGCCCCCTGCTGAACTCACTCCAGCCTATTGAACTCTTTCCTACATCAGGGTGCCCAAAGCTGGATGAAATATTCTAGATGTATTCTAAGAAGTGCTGAGCAAACAGCAATATTATTTTCCAGTATATTTACTTCTCAGTGTACCAGCTATGCTCCTGTTGATACAGTCCAGCACGTCACTGCCAAGGCACACTGTTGGCTTACTATCTGCTGGGGACCACAGGTCCTCTTCACCAAAGCAGGTTCCCAGCCTTGGGAACTTAACAGCCCAAGTGCTGGACTTGTCCTTCTGGATTATCATGATGTTCTTGTCAAACCATTGCTCTACTTGCATAGATCCTTCCAAAAGGATAGTCACACCCTTAGCCATACTGATAGCATGCTAAATTCAGTTTGGACTGCATACTTGATGAGGATGCAGATTCCTTTAATCAATATCCAACCTGATTACTTTTCCCAAACCAACATTTTATAGTTTTCCTGTCATTACTACAAATTCAAAAGAACGACGAAGAGTTGAAGCATACATCCCGCCTCAAAAACAGCACAGTTTAAGACTTAACAAGAAGGCCCAGTTCTAGCAACTGCTTGAAGCAACAGCAGGATAACTTGTCCAGAACTGAAACGATGTCAAACATTTAACAGGAATTCTCTGAGTCAACGTGACATCACATTGGTGTCTCGTCTCTGAGACGCTGTGTTCCCGCAGCTGGCAGTGGCTCATGTATTCCAACTAACTGCTTATGTTCATCAGTCCCATGACAAATGGTAAAATAATGCCCTGACACGGAAGGGCAACAACACATTGCATGTGCACGCGCTCAGGGATGCTTCAGTTACAGTCACTGCTGTGTGACAGTATCACGTTTAGTAATAATTTCTTTTTGGTGCATTCCACTGATTTGCATTACATTCATGAGAAGTGACAGCATGCAAATGTCCTTTTGTTTTTAAATTCTAAGTAATTTTTTGTGTTTGCTTTGAGAAAAATCAATAGTTTAACAAGTAAAAAGAATACATTTCAAAAATAGCGACATCTAACCCCATTACATCCAAATGGGCAGCAAACGCGAGATTTTTTGTTTTAATGGTGTCTAAGCAATTTAGAAAGTGTTATGATTAAATGAAGCTATATTTAAAAAAACATCAGAAAATGAATTCAAACAAGTAATGGATCCTCTGAATATTTATATCATGTATTTCAGGAGGAACATATATAGAAGCACGCCCACCCCCCCTTAAGGAATTGCAGCATTTCCTCTATAGAGACAGTGGGATTCAATGATAACAGTTCTTTTGAACACAAAAATCTGTAAGTAATCAAATATTAAAATTCTTCTGCACTTTGGAAAACTGTGACAATGCCACGTGGATTTAAGTTCAAGTTAGTTTGCCCATATTCCCAGCAAAGTTGGTTACTGGCTAACCATAACTTGCAGTCTATTGCAGTAAAATACTACCATTGCAACAACATCATTGCCATGCCCAAGGTAAAAATGTTATTTTACCAGTGAATTTCACTTTGGCCATTAGCCATATTGGCAGTATTTCCAATAGATTTACATATTTCAAGAATTACTTGACCTTGGAAGGCAGAGGGCTTACCTCCAGTTCTTGGTGTGAGGAGGACCATCTTCAACACGAAGCAAAGCATAGCGAGCTGCATTCAGAGACAGCCCTCGGATTCCATCACCCCATTCTTTCTCCGCTCTTTGGGGTGCATAAGAGATTCAGTTAACAGGGTCCCATTTACTTATAAAGTACATTTTCTCATGTGAGGGACAAAGGGCATAAAAAAAATTGAACACTTTTTGCATGAATGCATGAAAAAACTCATCTCACAGATTTTAATCAAGAATGAAGACTAATCAAGGTGAAGCAGTCTCAAGTACCTTCAAGAGAACTATTTATTAAGTATTTGAAAATATTCGCTATGTTTTATTTTATTCATACTTGAAAAGCTTTTTTTTTGTAATCGTGAGAGCTACTGAAGTTCCTTTTAAGCACCAAAAATGAGGGCTAGTTAAACTGTTTTAAAGCAGAAGAATGAATAAGTGAGACAACTTCATATGAATTAGTGTGTTACAGGTTTTCCCCTAACACCACATTACAGCTTTCTCCACTTCCTTTCTTTCCCAGATGAGCCTACAGCTTTATCCACCCTCCCAACCACTTTCCATCTCCCTAAATTTTCCACTCCTCTTTCTCCCAATACAAAGCTACAGGTGGCCAATCAAGTAAAAAATAACTCTCAGGCTAACACCTTATTTTCCTCTGCAGGGATTCTACTACCACAAGAGGTCCATCTCCCTTGCTCTCCCACCCTCCCTCCCCCTCATTTCTATTCATGAATTCTCACTGAACTTGTTACCTTTAGCCTTTTTTCAAAATTTAGATTAAATAAGCCAAACTGAATTCAAAAGCTAACGAAGAACAGTGTGGCAATTAAAATGTATCCTAACAGGCAGCACAGTCCTTGTAAGTTTCTTTTACTCAGTTATCAAAAAATTAAAATAAAAACTGAGGTTTTCTCCACACAGCACTTTTTAGAGCATTTCAGGATGAGTTTTGCCCCACTGCCAAATCAGCCCCTGCATTTCTAAAGGCAGAGGGAAAAGTAGTTTCTGAAAAAAAAATAAATCTCTTTAGCCAGCATGTCTACCCCGGACATGTGCCAACATTTGTACAGTCTGTATATGAATTTGGATGTATGTGCATACTTACATACACACACAAGCAGAACTGTTATCATCTGACCTGACTTCCTGGCTAAAATAGGCGAATTAATTTCCTTATAATTAATCCAGTAAATGGAGCTGTTACAATCCAGGAAAGCATCTAATCTGGAAATAAAGACATTAAAAGATGGAGAACCCACAAGGTGGAACAGTTTATACCAGCTGATCCACCCAAGACCTGTGCTTAATCACTCATCAAAACAACTGGCTTCACTTCAATTTCGTGCTTGACAATTTTTCTTGACTAGAATCTTGCAGCATTGGGTATCTTTCTTTAGAAAGCACACATACTGATCATAATCACCTCTAGTCTTTGGATATGTTGCTCAGCTGGGGATTTTTTTGGTTGGGTTTTGGGTTTTTGGTTTGTTGTTGCTGGGTGAGGTTGTTTGGTGTTTGTTTTTATTTAAATAAACTCAGTACGCTCTTTAAGTCTCCTACTTGCACAGCATTTCTCATAGCTCTATGTGTCCCTTGTCAAATGTGTACAGTGCAAAGTATGTTGCAATTTAAAAATTATCTAAGCCTTCAGAAAATAGACAGTTTTCAGTAGGTTCTCTGGATTGTTCAGTATGATTCATTCTTAAAAGTGCTAAAGTCCACACAAAAGAATAGAGGTTTTGGGCATTAGCACAAGTGAATAATAAGGTAACAGATTTGTAATGGCTGCTGCTTGCTATTAAAAGGTGATGTTCCTGAAGTACCAAAATTTTACATCATAATCGCTGCTCAAATTAAAGTTTCCCAGCCTTGTTGGTTCTTATTTTAATCAGATCTGGCTGTGCAGAATTTTAGAACAGAGCTTCTAGAGAAATTAGAACCTGAAAATTTACAACCCTTAACAGAGACAGAATCTTATCTTGTTTCAAGGAACAGTCTTAATTCTATTTTCAGTTGTGTCTATTTTATATAAAAAGTGCTTTTTGCTTAACATTAAAGATATTAAATATAGAATAAATAAGATATATGGTCTTACCCTCTATATTCTATGTATTTGTATATACATCCTGCGATTAGCATGGCAATCAAAGCATAGTACCAAGAGCAAATGAACATCAAGGCAAGACATAAACTCATCCCCAGGAATGAAAGCGTCCTAAAAGAAACCATGTTTTTCCATTTTTTTAAAAAGGCATGCAAACGTTCTACAGAGTAAGTTTCTAATTTCAGTTAACTTCCAGAAAGGCCTTTCTTCTTCAAAGGCCACTTCATAGCTACTACATAAGTGAAAATACATTGTCCTAATTTTAGGTTATAAAAAAAGTTACATTCTAAATCCTGTGTGACATAATACAATTGAACTAGATATTAACAACAGATACACTACATATGTCAGTTCTGAAACTCTATCAGTACCTCCAAGTAAGGTCAGTTTCAAAATACATTGCTGTCTCTCACTGTTGATTTGCATTTAACGAAACTCAAACAACACTAAACAACATTATGTTACTTCTAGCAAAAATAGTTGGTTGGTTTAAGTAAATTTTACTCATCAATTCTATTCTCCCCTTCCATTGTGTCCTGTCTCTTAGGCAAGAACACACAACAGCAGACGAGAATACAGACAACAGTATTTCAAGGGCTATAAAAAAGGAATTACTGTGAGCTGAAAATGTTACAGAAGCATTTACAAATTAAAGTTTATATGCCTGGTTTGTCCACATCATTCAAGATAGGTGTAAGTCAGCTCAGAACCGGACAGTTTTGTGACTACTTTTAGTCACACCACCTTAGATTTCCAAACTAGAGCTAGCTTTCACTGTATTGACAAAGAGTGTCAGCAGACCCAACTTTTGCTTGGTACCTTTAGTTTGCTTCTTCAGTACCACACATGCATTTGAGTCCAAATACATCCAGTTTTTAACCAAAGACATGCTTTCTACCTGTTATAAGGACATGAATCTAAATGTAATTTCTCTAAAAGAACAAGAGCTGCTCATTCATGCCTGACTTAACCAACTCTACTAACGTAGCTGACTACTTCCACTGAAAAAATAAAGTTCCATCCCAGTTCTGGCCAAGCATTCTGGTACCTGCTTTGGCTAGAAGTGATTACAAAGTCACACAGTGAGACACTTGGCTCCCTGATCTCTCTGGGAAGAATAGAAAAAAAGAATTATTTCCAAACAGTTACAAACTCTGCTGCTGCCACGTCACAACCCTTTGCTTTTTCTTCCTCACCATCACCCATCCTGTACCTCTTGCTACTCTCCATCTTATCCACCTGCCTTAGCTTTTAATCAGCTTTGTACCTCCTACTACACTTCTTCCACAATCAGATTATTCATGGGTGGCAGAAGGAAAAGCCCCCAAAAGACAGCAAACCCCCGTTTTTCTTCTTCATGCTGCAAATACTGCTAGGTGTTTGCAGTGGTAAGACTGGGAGACAGGCACTGATGTATTTGGAGGTTTAGGTGCCAAACTAGTAAGCACCTAGTGAGCATATTCAAAAAGATTTTTCAGGGCTAGAACTGTGATGCTTCCTTTTCACTCAGTTCTTTAAAAGCAAAAATAATAAGCAACTCTTACATCCTAGAATCAGGCCAGCTTATGTCCTAAACTCTCTAGTCTTCAAGGCATTTCAGCACTAAAAGCTTCTCAATAGAATTATTGTGTATATATTTTTTTAATAAGTATATCTATTATTGACATGTGGTAGAAAATAAAAAAAGTTTCCTAATCTTAGTCTGAAATATTTGAACTCTTAGGCCACTAAAAAAAATCTAAACAAAAAGCCACACCCTATTTTTTGTATATTTGACCTCTACTGACTTTGTCAAGAATCCACTCACCAACGGCAGTTATCAAACGCAATGTCTAAAGCATGACAAACCTTAAAAACAGTGATTATATCATTGAAGAGCCAACCGATGTATATTAAACAAGGGATTTTTTTCCTGTACAAGTTTTGGGTTTGTGTTTATTTCTTCACATAACTGAAGTGAAAACCTTATCAACTTTCCTGAAAAATTTTACCACTTCTCCTTATCTATACATGAAAGACAGATTATATTTTTTTATCTTTATCTCACATATTCAGATATCTCAGCTTTTAAGCAACATTAAACCTCATACTGTAGCCCCTTCCCAAATCCTCTACATTAGCCACACCTTCATGATCACAGCTATTACTAGCCCTATTCTAAACACATCAAAACAAACATTGTTGTTAGAATAATCAGTGCATGCATCATCTAATAACTCATTTAAATCAGAAGGGAGATTTTGTTCTACTATTGTAAGAAAATCAATGATATAGGGCTGCATAATTAGTTTTAGCTCTTCCAAATGAAGGAACATTCCCTACCAATGATAATACTTGAACCGAGGCCTCCAGTTGGGAGTCCGTAAGAGTGTCTGAACTGCACAAGCCAGATTTACAAACATATAGCACATAAGGAAAAACCTGTTAAGAAAAAAAAAAAGAAAAAAGGGCATTTTCCAATAGGAAATTAACTAGACAAATTTGCATTAATAGGCTGAACACCATCCCAAAACCATAGGAACTTTGTACACCATGTTCACAGTAGCCAACAGAACACAAGACATCGATTAAATTAATACTTGTAGAGTATTAGGCCTCAAAAACATGGTATTAGCATAATGTAGAGCCTCAAACAAAGATTTCAGAAAAAAATGTAGCAAACAACTGACAATCCTGGTGTATCTTGTTGGCTGGGACAGAGTTAGTTTTCTTTGTAGTAGCTCACATAGTGCTATGTTCTAGATTTGTAACCTAAACAGTGTTGATAACACAGGTATGTTTAAACTGTCGCTGAGCAGTGCTTACACAGCATCGAGGCCTCCTCTGTTTTTCTTTCAACATTCTATTAAAAGCTTTCAAGAACTCTGTCCTAAAAAAGGTTGTTTATGCCTAGAAATAAGTTTCAGCCAAAACATTTTGTTGTTTCATATCATCTCCAGGATCAAATAGGAATATAACCTGTTAGAAGACAAAGTCTAGCATGTATTACTTCAAAAAGAAAAATAATTACCTAGTTAATTTAAGAACAAAATCCTATTTAACTTAAGAACACACCACATTCAAACTTACATTGAAAGAATTGGTGCTACACTGTCCAATGAGGCTATCAAAATTCCGATTTCACAAATACCAGCAGTGAGGAGCAGAGCCCAAGTTGGTTCTCCATTTGCTTTTCCATGACCAAATACCTAGTTCAATTGAAGTAAACAGTAAGATTAGGCAAAGTTGTTCATCATACAGTTTGGAGTTTGCAATCTGCACCATATCTAACTCTAATGGAACCAAAAATAGTCACTAGTTACAAAGGAAAATGAAGCGAGCTATATTACAAAAAGCTACAAAATTGCAAACCCACCCATTCCCAGTAAGAAAAATGTTTATTAAAATAAACAATGACTACATAGCAGTAGAATACTATTGCAGTTGCTGTTGAACTTAAGTAACTTCAAATCTACATGCATTGGAGTTTTATGCCTAGTCTATAAAAAGCTAATATAGTTGGTCAGTATTTTTTGTAACAAGGTAGGCATCAACTCAGTACTCATGAACATAAACACTGATCTTCAAAGAGAAATTAGCTAAGCATATGATGCTGCACACAGCCCTACCAAAAATCATTTTGCATGTGGTAAAGAATCCTAGTACCTGTGACAGATGGCAAAATGCCTCACCTGAAGTTTCAGCCATATTTATGCTCCTCTATACATTTATAAAGACAAACCCTCACTCCTATTTGCCACAATGGCTTCCTTTCCAAACATCTAAGTTTTTCACCTCGCTCATTCTCCACACTTCTCTTAAGCTTCTTGTCTTCCATCAATCTTCGTTCTCTTCCATTAAAATACCATTTATTCTGCTCATGTTTTAAGTCTTTTGTTTTTTATTAAACATGTCATGCTCTTGCCCCTATGTTAAACGCCTTGCCTTCATTTCCTTGACTGTCCATGCAGCAGGTATATCATTCCAAAACTGCAAGCAAGTTTTCAAGTCTCAAATCCCTCTTCAAACATTCTGCTTCTCCTGGATTCCCTTTCCCTCACTTCCTAGGCCATGTAATTTTTTTTTTCCTTCAGTTCATCACTCCTTTCAAATCTAACCCTGATAAGAAGGAATCATACTGTCACCCTCTCACCAAATGACAAGTTTTTACTTCAGACAGAAGTGAGATTTTTCATTTGTCTCTCTCAGTACAACCCAACATTTACAATGTATTGCATCACAACCCCTTCCCACTCACAAGTCAAACTCCATGATTCTGCCCCCGACCCAGGCACAGTGTATTTACTTCCATTTACAGATATGGGTCTTGCAAGTCCCATTTTGCAGCAGCATTACATCCACATCCTTGTACATCCTCATCATCTTTCTCCACCCCTGGTAGAAGAGATGCTCTTCCACCACACCAAGGGAACAGTGATATAACTTTCTCAGTGAACAAGGTGCCAGTACCATAGGTGCACAGCAGTCCAAGCCCATAGAATTGGAGATGCAGCAGCTGCATTTCCTGCTGGCAGAACATTCAGAGGGGCTGCAGAAGTGGCTACTGCTGTCTTTAACTCCCAGCAGCAATACTAGCATACATTTCCAGTGACCAGTCTCCTCTCCAGCCCAAGAGAAAAGAAGAACCCAAGACAAAACATGAAGGATATAGCCCTGCTGAGTCTAGGCACTAGCAGACAGCAACAGCAGGGAGTGGAACCAAGTGATTAAAGAGAAAAAAAAAGTTGGCAACAGCAGTACGATCTGCCTTTAAAACAAACAACAGAACACCACACAGAAAAAAAAAAAAAAAAAGCCCACAAAAGCTGCAGAAGTGGCTACTGCTGTCTTTAACTCCCAGCAGCAATACTAGCATACATTTCCAGTGACCAGTCTCCTCTCCAGCCCAAGAGAAAAGAAGAACCCAAGACAAAACATGAAGGATATAGCCCTGCTGAGTCTAGGCACTAGCAGACAGCAACAGCAGGGAGTGGAACCAAGTGATTAAAGAGAAAAAAAAAGTTGGCAACAGCAGTACGATCTGCCTTTAAAACAAACAACAGAACACCCACAAAAAAAAAAAAAAAAAAAAGCCCACAACACACAAAAGACCACTTCCCCCCCAAAGCCACTAGCATTAACTCTTCCATTTTGCTTTGCTGCTTCCAACCATCTCCTCATACCCTGTACACTCCTTCCCCCTCTTCACAGAGGTGCTTTCCTCTCTTATTTCTCCATTATCACATATTCTGCACATCTCCCTCCTCCTCAGATGTTCCCCCCGTGACCCTGCTCAAGTTCTCCAGCCAACCCATCACTCACAGCAGTCCCAGGCACATCCTAGCTGAGGAATATTCTCCATTCACATCCACACGTTGACTCGTCGTAGGCTTTCCCCAAATTCAGGGACTAAACCAAGCTGCTGGTCTATACTCAGCCTTCACTGAAGATAGATTATAAGTATCTCTGAATAGAGTTTATTCATCAAGAGTAATAGCCCATTTTTAATATATCCTACACCAACCTCAGGCGTGAGACACTGATCTAGAGCAGGTATTCAATCAATACTCCAGAGGTAAGGGTGAGTATTCTCCACTTTACCCAAACATAAGTTTGGTCACAAGGTATCACAATCCCAGAGAGATATTTAAAAACAAACAAGTGTTCCAAATCATCCTTAGGATTCTCTCCATACAGAACAGCCTATTCTCCCAAATTCAACTTTTCAGTGCCTGTGCTATCTGCAATTTCTTTCTGTGTTCTAAATTTGACGACTGTCCCTTAACTCTGTTCCCAAAATATTCATAGTTACTCAGACACAAACCTGGTTTTTATATTTGAACCTGTTCTTGGTAGGTTATCATTGTGTTGTGCAACTGTTGGCTGTTCTTGGCAATTTGAGCAATTCAAAGCTTTCAAACTCCAGGCTTCACCACAGAAATCACAGCTTTGCTCTCTAGACATTATCATCTTTTGGAATTTTTTTTCTTATTTTTAAGTCAAGTCTAGTTGCCTAGTTTTTACAGATGCAGCCCAGCCAACAACTGGATTAAATATTTTCCAGCAAGAGTTCTCTTTTCTTCTGTTTGCCAGCTCCCTTACTAACTTCCTTTGAGAAAAATCTTTTATTTATTTTTAAAAACATGCACAGGGATGTCAGAACAATCTTAATATTAGGAGTCATGGGACTAGAATAGAATTCTATTGTGACATACTACATCTTTGACTTTATTTAGCTTACAAAAATGAATAAAAATTAGAATTGTATCTCTATGATATGAGAAACACCATGCAGTTTCACAGTGAGATTAAATCAACTCTGTTCACAAACACAAGTTGTAAATACAGCCTGGAGTCAAGGTGTCCAGTTGTTAGTTGCTTCTCAGTTTGTAAATCTTCTATAAATGGAAATAAACATTCTCAGTTTTGAGCCACTAACTTTTATGCGCAAGAACAAAAACAATGAAATTGCACAGAAATTGAAGTTCAAAATTTGTGCTACAATAGCTTGATCTATTGTTGTACACAATTAGGGCTGAGCTCCAGATGTTTTCCTCACACTTCTACAGGAATAGACGCCACATTTGAAGTAGTGTAAAGAAAGAAAAACAAAAATCTCACTCGAATAAAGGGTACAATCCCATCTCTTGCAATGGCCTGCAACAGCCGGGGTGCTCCAGTGAGACTCTGTAGACCAGCACCACATGTTGAAAAGAATGACCCAATCACAATAACCCATGGAGAAGGCCAGGCCAGCGTTCCAACCACCAGATTCCCTTTAACTGCTTCTCCAAACCTTAGGGAAGGGGGGAAAACAGAAAAAAAAAAAAAGTTAGTAAGCGTTAAAATAACTTTTACTATAAGTATGCTACCCACACTTCATTCTTTTTGGACAACAGCACTTTTCAACACAGTATGCTCTATATGATTTCCCAACCAGTTTATCTTTATTCTGCTTTTTAAAGAAAACATATTATATAAAAAAAAAAGTTAGTAAGCGTTAAAATAACTTTTACTATAGCTTCAATACCCACACTTCATTCTTTTTGGACAACAGCACTTTTCAACACCATATCACAGTATGCTCTATATGATTTCCCAACCAGTTTATCTTTATTCTGCTTTTTAAAGAAAACATATTATAATTTATTTATTTTAAGCGCTGCCTCTAAGCAGACATGCAGCAGTTACCTGCATCTTGGCAAACTTTACAGAATTAACTGCTTCATCACCAAAAGCAAACTTGGGCCTTAGAAGAGAGAAACAGACACAAGCAAGGAAACAAATCTGAAAGCAACAGTTGGCCAACAGATTAATCTTGCCCAACTCAACTTCTCCTAAGGGAGAAATCCATCAAAATTTTGAGGTTCTGTTCATGCTTCTCTCCACTACATTTATTCCCTTCGTGCTTCTGCCTCAAACATCCCTAGGATATTCACATGGGTGAAAACTGACACGACTCTTGATCTACAATTGATATTTTAAAAGCAAAAAATAGTCATACACCCAGTGGAAATAACAGGCCTGATGGTACATTGCAGTCTCTCTCGTGAGCTCTCCTTGTCTAGTAACTGTCAAAAATCTTTTTCTGTCTTTGTTCTTCTCCCAAAGTACTAACACTCCCCTTACTCCTACCCACAGCTCCACAAATACTAACTATTGTTTTCTTTCTCAAGAACATTTTACTATGGACAGTTGCGCTTCAAACATTAATCTTGTATTTTGCTTCTACTTCCTGAAGGGATGCAGCCCGATAACCTGACCCATTTCTGCAGCCACCTCAGTTTAATTGATAGACTTTCCCTCCAGTTTTAATCTAAGCAAAATAAAAAAGATATCAGATATTTCCCAGAGGAGCCATTAAGAAGTCCTATTAACATAATCCACGATCACACATATTCCCTGTAAAATTAGAAGTTGAATATGACTTACTTATCTCTTAATATCACACCTTCTATACAGGCACCAAACAACACTATACAGGAGAGATCTATTACTGAGACTGAAGGAAGATCACAGTATAAGTAATCATATACATAAAGCGAAAACACACAATTTTTCAGTTAGGGGTGGAATGAAAGCACCCATGACAATGAAGTGGGGAGACGGGGGGTGATGGTGTTTACTGTTTTGTGGTTGGTTTTTTTAGCTCTTCCCTGCTACAACTTTTCAGTTTATCTTCTCAACAACTGCATTCAATGCACAGTTGATCTGTGAAGTATTGGAAATAGCCAGTTTATACATCCTGCAACAGAACAGATATTTTCTAATACAAGCAAGCATTTACATCTTCTAGGTGCTAAAGGACTAACAATTTCTGTTGCTGGTAGCTTGCTCTAACGTTTTCACTTGATATGCTGAGTATAACAACAGAGCAATCTGCCAACTGAAGCACAATGCTAAAAGCCTCAGCATCACTTAACTACACCCAATTATATCTTCGAATTTGAAGCACAAACAGAATATAGAGAAATATTTGTATATGCAAATAAATATTGATATTTTAAAATCATATTTATAAATAATACTTATATTTTAGACAAGTATAAAATATTTCTTTTCAGTTTGATTTCATTCATTTTATATCAGGAAACTCTAATGACTTTTCGATGGAAAAACTATACAGTTATACCTACAGAATGTGCACTAGGAAAAAAGTCACAGCATAAAGGATACAAATAAAAGACGTAGTTGAAATCGCCAAAATTGTTCCAGTAGGAATAGACTTCTGAGCATCCTTAAGATCTCCAGACCTGTTTGAACCTGCCATAATGCCTTAAAAAGAGACCAATTATTATGTCATAAAAACAATTAATACTAGCTTCATGTAAAAATCTAATAGAATAGAAACATTTAACTTTAAGCCTGATTTAACACATTACCAATGCAGCAGGCTAAGGAAATGTACTATAGTCCTGCACAACTCCTCAATTTATACCTTAATTTTATTCAGAAACTTGTGTTACCACCCATTGTTGGCTGAAAAATTCTGGAAAGCTCAGGAAAGACACACATAAAGTAACTAAAAAAGTTATTTTTCAAATATAGTTTCATATAGGTTTTAAAATGGGGAAATATACAGGAGCAGCAAAATGTTAGTGATGGATGTTATAAACTAACGGGAACTTAGCAATTTTAGCCAGTGTGACCAAATGCACTAACTTTCTACTAAACACACCATACATAATAAGATATTCAAGCAAATCAATGAGCTAAGTAATAAAAATATATAAACAAAAAAGAAAGGAGCAGGCAGAACTACAAGAAGAATGTTTAGGAAGTCACACGTACACATTCCTGTTTGAATCTAACAAAAATATTTTTGAAGAATGTTTAGGAAGTCACACGTACCCATTCCTGTTTGAATCTAACAAAAATATTTTCTAGCACATACTGTAATAGTGATAGAAGTGAAAAAAAAAAATCATACAATAACTAATTCTATAATCTTTTCCAGAATTGCTCTGACTACTTTTGGAGGCTAAAAAAAAAAAAAGGTGGAAGTTAATGTAAAAATATTTCAGTGCAAAAACATTGTCAAACTCCACACAATGAAATCCTAACAACAGGCTCAGATAAGATGAGATGTTAATAAAACAGCCTGAAGTAGAGACATGGGAACAGTGGAGGACAAGAACACGAAGAGACACCTTCCATGGGTAATTCCACTAGCAAACACTGCTGCAACTTCACGTCAGAGTTCTCTTTTGTTACTCGATATTACAATTGCTTGAGCTGGGACATTTGAGGAAAAACATTTCTTGTTATTTCAGTTTAATGTGACTTGAGAAAACTTATTACAACAAATGTAAACTTTAAGCTTGACAAAAATGTCTCTATTAATTAGAGCTGCAAAAAAAATATTGGGCATTTACACAAATCACAGGCAGTTGAGGGCTTGAATACCTGAAACCATCATCTTCTCAACTGTTTTCCGATACATTACATTAAAATATTATAAAGACATGCATCGTATTTTGAATAATCATTTAGTAACACACGGAGCTTTTGTCTTCCTTCCAGGCATAGAAAATAGCACTTAAATTGGTTCCTTGTTTAAGTCCTATAACCCCCTAAAATAATCAGCCACCAGCTATGTCTCCCTAGCATGAGAAATACCATGTGTCATCAGTAAGCATTCACACACACACAAAAAATTTAATCTTTTTTCAGCTAAAAGTACACATCCTCATTCAAAAACAGTTGTATCTACCTGTCACAGACGGGAAATAAGCATTCACACACACACAAAAAATTAATCTTTTTTCAGCTATAAGTACACATCCTCATTCAAAAATAGTTGTATCTACCTGTCACAGACGGGAAATAAATCCCTACAAGCATTGTGAAGTAGGTCATGATGTCTGTAAAAACATAAGGGAGTCCACTCATTTTAGTCTCTTCTGATCCAGCAACCGATGGCTGACCTTTTTTCTCAACTATTGATCCTTTTTCTGTATAAGTACTCCACAGATTATCTACAAAAAGGAAAAAAAAAAAGCATCAGTGTCATCTCAATTTAATGATATTAAGCAGTGAGCATTTTAACATTCAGCTGGCTTTTCTTACACAAAAACCATGATGTTTCCCAACATTTCCTTATAAATCCAACAATGCAGCAGCAGTAATGTTACTACTGATGGAACTGGTGGACATTCACATTGTGTGCCAGGAGAAATGCAGTAGAGTATGAGATGTGTCATACAAGATTTTCTCTTCCATTTTCTTCCCACCTAGAGTACTGTGTGCAGCTCTGGAGCCCCCAACATAAGAAGGACATGGATCTGTTGGAGTGACTCCAGAGGAGGCCCACAAAGACAATGAGAGGGCTGGAACACCTCTCCTATGAAGACAGGCTGGAGAACTGGGGCTGTTCAGCCTGGAGGACAAGATTCTGGGGAGACCTTATAGCAGCCTTCCAGTACCTAAAGGGGGCCTGTAGTGATAGGATGAAAAGTAATAGTTTAAATTGAAAGAGGAGAGATTTTAACTAGATATCAGAAAGAAATTCTTTGTTGTGAGGGTGGTGAGGCACTGGAACAGGTTGCCCAGAGAAGCTGCAGGTGCCCCATCCCTGGAGGGGTTCAAGGCCAGGCTGGATGGGGCTTGGAGCAACCTGCTCTGGTGGGAGGTGTCCCTGCCCAGGGACAATGAACGTAAGTACTCCACAGATTATCTACAAGAAGGAAAAAAAAAAGCGTCAGGGTCATCTCAATTTAATGATATTAAGCAGTGAGCATTTTAACATTCAGCTGGCTTTTCTTACACAAAAACCATGATGTTTCCCAACATTTCCTTATAAATCCAACAATGCAGCAACAATAATATTACTACCAATTGGAACTGGTGGACATTTACATTGTGTGCCAAGAGAAATGCAGTAGAGTATGAGATGTGTCATACAAGATTTTCTCTTCCATTTTCTTCCCACCTAGAGTACTGTGTGCAGCTCTGGAGCCCCCAACATAAGAAGGACATGGACCTGTTGGAGTGAGTCCAGAGGAGGCCCACAAAGACAATGAGAGGGCTGGAACACCTCTCCTATGAGGACAGGCTGGAGAACTGGGGCTGTTCAGCCTGGAGGACAAGATTCTGGGGAGACCTTATAGCAGCCTTCCAGTACCTAAAGGGGGCCTGTAGTGATAGGATGAAAAGTAATAGTTTAAATTGAAAGAGGAGAGATTTTAACTAGATATCAGAAAGAAATTCTTTGTTGTGAGGGTGGTGAGGCACTGGAACAGGTTGCCCAGGGAAGCTGCAGGTGCCCCATCCCTGGAGGAGTTCAAGGCCAGGTTGGATGGGGCTTGGAGCAACCTGCTCTGGTGGGAGGTGTCCCTGCCCAGGGACAATGAACAATGATACAAACCCATCACAAACTTGCTGTATCATATCGGACAAGACATAGGACTTCATTTCACAGGGTACAACCTATAAATTGGAAATAAGTTCTCCCTCTGGAGAGTTTGAGAATGTATTAACGAACAGCTTGTTGAAATAAGTGTATTTGGCATACAAAAGAGCTAAACACTTTGGAAAAAATTATCTGTGATAAACACTTTCCTGTTTTTTGTTAGAACAACAGCTTTTGACAGGGTGCCGATAAAACTCTAACCACCTGCAAATTAAAGTATTTGATACTAAGCTTCTAAAACCAGATGGAAACTTCACAGGAGAAAGCCATCTTTCACACAAACATATTAGAGCTAAAGGAATAGTAACAGGCTAGACCACTGCATTACTGAATAGCTACAGGCCAAACTAATAGTGTCCAAAAACTTTTAAATCACTGTGCTTTCCAACTTACCAGCTAGAACTCCACTCATTATTCCTGGAATGCCTTGAATTTCTGTTACATTATTGAGGCTGAAGTAGTCATCACAGGTAGCATTAAGCAAAGGACTATCACAGAACAGGCCCCACAGAGCTGTGGTCTTTGTTTCATTATTGCTTTCGGTAAATTTGGCACAGACATCAAAGTTGCGTTTCGACAATGTACGGTTTCCAAGGAGACAGATACTATAAACAAAAAGAGTGAAAACAGAGATCCTTCAGTATAGTGTTGTGCATTAAACCATTTTTTGTCCATTAGACTTCTTCAGAAACCCATTACTTATAGTACCTATTTTATGGCCTATATACTGTTTTAGTAGGTGTAGTAGAGTCTCCTCATACTTAACGATCATAAATAATCTTTAAAACACCAATCAAGCATTTCTACTTTAAGGTATTAATAGCTATTTCGCCTTCTGATTTATTCTTTGGAAAATCCAGTCAACTGAAGCAGGTGGGCTGCTAACTAAGAGATCAACGATTCATTCAGTCCTACAAGACAGGAGTGAAATGGAGTAATACTTAATGTAACAGTGAGCCTGACCAAGAAAATACAAAAGTAAGGTTAAGGAAGTATGTCATGCCCTTTTCTAGCTAATAAATATCTTAGATGGCCCTCAAAAAAATTAAAATCCAAAAGGTAGGAAATAAGCCAGGAGGGCTAAACAGCAAAATTTATAAACATTGATGGGAATACAAATTAAAGAATCACATAGCAGGAAGCAATTAAAACACTCGAAAGAAAATTAGAGAACTCAGAACAGCCTGCAAACAGAAAATTCCTAACAGCAAAGAATACTACGGATCTAGGAGAGTTTCTTTGCTAAGCTACACAAAAGACGTTTAAGGAGATCATTTTTAAGCAAGCCTGGAACAGGTAAGTGATATACAGTATCTATGAAGAGGAAAGAAGGAGGACAAAACATTCATGTTAGGCAGGTAAGTCAAAGAACACTTAATACACATCTAATACTTCTGAAGGAGTTCAGTGAAGAAGCCAATAACAAAAAAGTAAAAACATACCACTTTGGCATTAGAACAAGTATACTAAGCCAAGTAGAATATTGACCTAGCGTAATATCCCACTCTGATAGCAAGTAAGAATAGATGCCTCAAGGAGAGGACATGACACCAGTACAGCTTCATGGTATGGCATCACATGGAAGTCAAACAGATTTAACAGAGAGTTGCTGTGAAAAAGATCATCTTGCCACTTGCCTTGCTCATTTTTCTTTTTAATTGCTATTGATTTGGTGACCCTACAGCAGCAGGGTGAGTGGATTCAACTCATGGAAACTTCTTCCAGTTTGATTCAACTGGGAGATGATGAGGTAAAGTATTTTACCATCTATACAACGGCCAAAGCTAACAGAGCTTAGTGATGCCAACTTAACTAACCAGCTACGTGGAGTCTGTTGGGTTTTTTTTGTGACCAGCTTACCACCAGATCAGCTTTGCCATAATATAAAACCACACTTGAGGCAGATTGGCCAAAATGTGAACAATTACATTTACTGGAGGATAACCTTTCCCCCGCACTGTCCCAAGCAAGAATATATCAAAGAAGTTTCTATACATAAGGTTTCCAGAAACTTGGTAATAAGTCTTACCCATCCTACATATGCAGATAAATCTTCTTTTACCGATACAGGTAACTGAAAAATTTAAGTACTTCCTCGTTAGAAGTTACAGTTTCTTAGAAATTCAAGTTTTCTTCAGAAAAAATGTCAGTTTTCAACACACTGATTTTTTCAATAGAGTATACTTGATATCATTTTATAGTACAGTCCACAAATACTGCTTTAATGCCCAATTTGTAACACAACCATCAACACTTTAAAGTACTATAGAATCTGTAACAATCATACAGCAAAGGATAGCTTTGGTCCTGCATAGTGGATGGCACTTCATAGCAGAAGAGCCTGCTAACTTTTGTTAATGTGTTAAGCAGTATAATTTTGTTTTCTCTCCAGACAGAAAAAGATGCATAAAAATGCAACTCACAGATCAATAAGTGCACAAAAGAAATAATTCTTAATGAGCTAAGAAAGTTGTAAGCTAAAGGTACTGAGAAGCAATATGCAGTGTGTGGCAAAAATAAAATTTAATTTTATTAACAAGAAGGTAGAAAACCTTCACAAATACAGGTTAATTTAACCTGGCAATATCTCCGGTTTAAGTAGGGAGAAATGGCAATTACAAAAGATTCTTCATGACAAAGAAAGCTTGAAAGTATGTTTCTTTCATAATTATGGGTCACAGCTAGAATGTTTTCTTGAAATTTTACTTTATTCTATGGGGTTTTAGTTTAATTCTTTAGATAAAGCAGCTATATTTCCTGTCAGCAAAACCTTCCTGTTCTTTAGGTGCGGATGGAATAACAGTCAGTAACTGTAAGTACCAAAGAGTATTTTCCAGAGTATCATTTCTTATCAACAATGAAAGATTCAGATAGATAACTCAGAACAACAAATGAACATATAATTGCCTAAAATATGTAAAACTTACCATTGAAGCCAAAGTGCTTCTATTTTGAAGTTTAACTTAAAACAGTAGCTATTCCCTCTCCTCACTTTCTTTTTTGTTGTTGTTTAAATAACCCAACTACTTAAAGATATTGCACTTACGGGAAGTCAGGTGGGTCAAAAGCAGTCTTAATAACTCCAGCATATATGGCAATGATGGAAAGAATCACACAGGCAAGGAAGACCAATGCAAGTTTGTTGACATATTTTACTCCCACAAAAACTACTATGGCCATCAGAACGATGATGCATGTTCCATAAACTCTCATGTTGTTCAGCAGAGCCTCTGTTTCTTCACCAACCTCTTCTGCTTTAAATATAGCAGCACTTGGAGAAATGTAGGTCTGCAAAAGATATGACAAACTATCATACAAGTAATTACATTTTATTAAGAAATCATTTACTTGAACTTCAAAATCTAAAGTTCACCCAGATGACATAGCCATTTAGAAAGTGCAAAGGTAAAAGGAAGGAGGTGGCAGGGATGAAGAGAAACGAGTTCTGAGAATGAGGTACTGCTTTTGATCCAGCTTCTCTCCCCTTTAAGAGTTTCCTCTCCTCAAAGTCATGTCACCACCAGACAGGAAAAAAATCCACTAAGGACCTGGGCAGTGGGGGCTATTGACAAAAAATAAAACAAAAAACTAGGTCAAACACTCAGCTCAAACCAGATATATCCTTAGACTCAACTGAAGCATTTGCTGATTAATAATTCTGTTGATTGAAACAAAATATGAAGAGTCAAACAAAAGCACCATAATAAACTAAAAATGTTTTCAGTACTATAGTCACTGCTCTATATTCAATAAAATTCCATCTGAAAAGAAGTTGGAAGCACAGTTATAGGACTTACACTGTAAATGCAAATGAAAAGACAAACTCTGACCTATAGTTGTGAGACATTTCTGTACTACACTACGTGATAAAGATATCTTTTTTCCTTCTTCTAACACCTTTACAAAAAAAAAAATCTCTGCTTAGCTATTAGGGGAGTCCTGGGGCTTGATGCAATCTCAGTCCTTTAACACAACTGCTAAACTAACTGTCCTTCTAAAGGCAGGAAGAAGCTTTGAGCAGGAGGCTATCCTGGCATGTTCAGAACCAAAATCCAAAACCACAGGCAACTCCTTACTAATTTTTTTTATTATTACTTAAATTAATTTTTAAATTAAAATTAAACCTAGTAAATTAATATTTACTAGAATGCAATAAGAGAAGAAAATCATCACATCACCATGAAAGAAAACAAAAAAGCAAAATGAAAAACTTATTACAGAGTATTGACATATCATTATTAAAAAATCCTGACTATTGTGACGTTGCAGAAGTATCAGTCTCTGTATGGAGGTACGCCAGGTATGCTTTTTTGCCCTGCTGTTAACAGCCTTTGCTGGGGAAAGCCACATGCAGACGACTGATTCCTGCACCTCCAAATAATCCATGTCCCAGGGGAGGGGAAAAAAAAAATTTAAAAAAAAATCAGTACTTTTGCCTTGCAGCTATGACAGGGTTCTGTTCTGAGATCTGCCGGATATGACATCCTGGGAGGCTAAATTGCATAGCTGAACTCCATACATGTTTATTAGCAATACATAAAACATTTATTAGCAATACATGCCTCCTGAGTAGGGAGAAGAGTGCACTAAATCCAACACACAGTGTGACATGGCACTAGTGTTGTTAACAGAAATCAGGCCTCACAAACTAGCAGTAGTGAGCGAAGACTATCTCTAATTTCAAATCCACGCTTTTTTGAATTTCTGAGGTGGGTCACAGCAAATAACCAGGAGGAGGAATTCTGAACTACCTCCTGTGCATATCTGCACAGTCTCTGATACGATGATCAATAACTGTCTGGCCCTTCCTGGATGAGGCAAAGCCACAGTAAACAGGCCATTGCCATAGAGGCAGTCTTCAACAGCATCTTTATGGGAATAAGAAATTTGAAAGCTAGTAGTCTGAAAAGCAAAAATTGGGATAGATTGTTAATTCCTGCCTCATAGGAGATATGCCCTTCATGTTGTCTGTAACTTTTCACCAGGCAGCAGCTTTCCCCAGAGCACATGGCAATATCAAGCATTGTAGAAGGTGAGAAGTTTCTATGAGTTGTCCCAGGAATGTTTTTCTGATGCCAAGCCCCAAGATTTTCATCTGGAAGGAATCCTCCTAAACCTCAAGTAAATATGAATCCAACGCACAATGTGACATGGCACTAATGTTGTTAACAGAGATCAGACCTCACAAACTAGCAGTAGTGAGCGAAGACTATCTCTAATTTCAAATCCACGCTTTTTTGAATTTCTGAGGTGGGTCACAGCAAATAACCAGGAGGAGGAATTCTGAACTACCTCCTGTGCATATCTGCACAGTCTCTGATACGATGATCAATAACTGTCTGGCCCTTCCTGGATGAGGCAAAGCCACAGTAAACAGGCCATTGCCATAGAAGCAGTCTTCAACAGCATCTTTATGGGAATAAGAAATTTGAAAGCTAGTAGTCTGAAAAGCAAAAATTGGGATAGATTGTTAATTCCTGCCTCATAGGAGATATGCCCTTCATGTTGTCTGTAACTTTTCACCAGGCAGCAGCTTTCCCCAGAGCACATGGCAATATCAAGCATTGTAGAAGGTGAGAAGTTTCTATGAGTTGTCCCAGGAATGTTTTTCTGATGCCAAGCCCCAAGATTTTCATCTGGAAGGAATCCTCCTAAACCTCAAGTAAATATGGCTTAAAAGGGCTTACGCCAAATTTACCTAGAGTAAGCAGCTCTTCCAACAGAAATGTAATGTCACTGCTTACTATAAAGTAATTGTCAGATTTAAAATCTTTCAGTCATGATCCCAACACTAGTACAGTAAAATGGAAAATTAATTCCAGTAGATATAAAGTAAGAGGAAGCTCCCCTGAAGAGCTTGCTAAAGAATTCAGAGCTCAAAGGCAAACAGCCTGGGAAAAATCAAACTATATATATTGAGAAGTTACAGCAAGAAGACAAAAACTGATGCTGAAAAGACAAAGGATAGGTAATACCATGGAATCCACATCCTTCTTAAAACTTGTGAGTCACAAGGAAAGGAACCAAAACCTTCTTGTGTTACATGAGAGAAAGAAAAAAAAAAAAAGAGAAAAAAGAGTAGGACATCATTCAGACTTGAAGAAAAGGGAAACTCCAAAGCAAAAAAGATAAACTGACTATAAAGATAGCATCTTTAGCTTTTCAATTCCAAGTCTAAGGTGACCTAAAGAAAGTACTATGTGCATCTGTTCATTGTTGTTTGGAAAATAAAAGCAGCATAATATATGGATCAAACTTTTTTTAAGTTTGCTGTGATGCACCATGAACATACACAGACAAATATTTAAAGAAATGAATTCCTTCACATTTGTAAATAAATAATTTTTAACCTAAAATAGCTAACAGCGTCACTAAATCAAAATGACATTTCAGAGGCCCTGAAAATACGCCATGTCAATTATGATTTAATCTGCAACCTACTGCGACATTTCACTAGGGACTGCATTATTTCTTGTAGTATTTTTTTCATTTTTGATACAGAAGTTGTAGTTGGTACAAAAATAATTGAATTAAATCTTAACAAGTCTACAAAGTCTACCTGTTGATACAATGTTCTTTTCTGCATAATTTATTGAAATATTTCTTATTTTTCATCTCCAGTTTGGTCCTATACATTTGGTTTTGGAATATTAGGTATGTATTACCAAAATAAATACAGTTTGCCTTGCAACTCTGTAGGTGTACAGTAGCACAGGCATAATTTATGGGACATTTGGTATTCAGAACATGTTATAAACCAGTGACAACAGGTATGAATTAATATAATATCAATATATAAATATTATTATAAACCAGTGACACCTGGTATGAATAAATAAGTGTCAGTTACCGAATTCTGTTTGGTTACTACTTTAACCAGGACAACACCAAACAGACTTTAATTTATTTTTGCATTGCTGACTAGAATCTTTTGAACTTTTTCAAATAGTCATAAGTAGAGTAAGACTAAGTAGTGACATACTGGAAATATAGTATCAAAATATTAAAAGTCGCCAAACTAGAATGCATTTTAGGCCAAGTGCTTTCCTCAGCAAACTCCCAAACCAACCCAAATACATTTAATCTTAAGTACTTTTATTGGTACTTACCAATAAAATTTCAATGGTACCAAGAATATACATTGCTCCTGCAAAGGTTGTACCCAAGTAGAAACAAAGTCCCACTGCTCCACCAAACTCTGGCCCTAAAGATCTTGAAATCATGTAGTAAGAGCCTCCAGCTGTGAATTTAACAGAAATTAGTAGAGAACAAAAATTTGTATCATTCAATCAACACAATCAAGATAACTACTGCATGCATTCTCATTGAAATGTTCATACCAAAACTGTATTCAGTGTCTATACCACCTAGGCAGTTCAAATGTACATTTCATAGTGAATATCTTCATGTCCATTTTTCTGGGGAACAGAAAATAAACACCAAGGAAAAAGAGGAAAAAAATCCACAAGCTAAACAATCTAAAAGTAAGTTAAGAAGAGGATATACAGGTATAACTAGATGTGAATCAATCTTTAGTTTCTAACCTCAAACTGTTCACAAACAATAAACTTCCAGAATAATGTCTTTATGAGATAGAGACAGAACGTGTCTCACTAATAGACTAATAGTAATGCCCCAGAATGTTTCAACTCTTCTCACTCACGTTTCCCATATACATCCATCATCTTTCTTTAAGTCATAAGCTACCCTCCTCCTCTCCCCCATTTCCACTGTACCATTTCCCTTTCAATAAGGTTCTAAGTTTCAATCTCTTTCTCTCAGCTTCCCCCTAACACCCCCAAAGGCATGCTCCTCTCTGGTTCCCTCAATCTTCTCTTAAATTCATGAAGCTTTTCCCACTCATGACAACTGAGGAAGAATAAGTCATAAGCTGCCCTCCTCCTCTCCCCCATTTCCACTGTACCATTTCCCTTTCAATACGATTCTAAGTTTCAATCTCTTTCTCTCAGCTTCCCCCTAACACCCCCAAAGGCATGCTCCTCTCTGGTTCCCTCAATCTTCTCTTAAATTCATGAAGCTTTTCCCACTCATGACAACTGAGGAAGAAAGAGGAGACAGAGAAAGGAAGTGCTTTACTTTAAATAAACATACACCAGCCTTGTGTAGAATTACTCTGCAAACAAGAATCTGCTTTTCAATACAGACAAATGAGAAACTAACCACAAAATTTATGATGCATCACCAATCCTTTAACTAAACATAATGCTGTTGCATATAACAGCAAGAGACATGATCCTGCTGCTCGGGTCTCTTTCAACCCTAGGTTCCTGTCTGTGCTTTCTGCCTCCTCCACATGTTCCAGCAGAAGCAGTATTTCTCTAATAAACTGGCACCAAAAAAAAGTGGAAATGAAGACCTGCCTAGTGTAAGACCCAGCAACTCCAAAGATTTCTGTGACACTCAGATGTTTAGCAAAATTTTTTCAATTAACTTGAAAAATATGAGAGGGAAAAGGGCAGAACATTTTAGTTATCTGGACACTAATTACAATAACTACATTTCATTATAAAATATAAGTATTTGAAACAATTTTCTATTGTATTTATATTTCATATATGGTACTGTATCCATGAAATGTGATTATTCTACACCCTGCACAAGTCGTGGTGTTTACTTTTGCCCAACAACTTATGCATCAGTTCTGGAAACCCTTACTAAACTAGAGAAGCTATGCAAGTGAAGAGTTTTAACTTAATTAGGTAAACTGTTCAGATTTCACAACAATGTCTAAACACTAAGCATTATCAATTAATGTTTTGAGAAACTGCAAGGGATAAGAGCTTCAAAGGCTAACTGGTTTTGCATTAAAAATAAATCAGCTTCATAATTTAAGAGGTATGAGTTCACCTGTTTATCTGGAACTTTTAAGGACATGATCGTAAGAACATGTTTATCCAGAACATGCTTATCTTAAAAGAGATTTCTGCCAGCAAACTGGGTGTTACTCTTGCACAAAACAACATGACTAGCTCTAGTGTTTAGAAATGGAGTCTAGGCACATTCAGGCCAAAAAAAAAAAAAAGGCAGCCCTGTTTGTAAGTTTGTAAAGAAATCTGCTTTTCATGAGGACAAGTCTCTATTAGTTCAAATTATAACATTTGATCTTTCATTCAAACAGAATCAAATGACTGATGACCAAAATGTGCTACAGTTCATAATTCCTAAAGGTCCAGTAAAAAGACTGCATTTCACCTTAAGTCATTTTCAAATCAGATAAAAGAAAATATGCACTTGACACAAAATCATGACTTCTGATATTTCAAGCTACAGTGATTTCTTATCCCAGCTTTAAACTTCCATCATTTGACCATTCACTATTTAAGATAAAATTATTCATTACCTGGAACTACACCATTTGTTGCTATTGCACTCATTGAAATTGCAGTTAGCATAGTCTGTGGAAAGATGAAATAGAGGAAATTTCAAATACTGAAAGTTTTTTTGAAAGATGGGGCAAGAACAATTGATTAAAGGAAACTAGGATTTTTTTTTTAAATTAAGATGTTACAACGACCAAAAATTATCACGTCTTTGCTTAGGGATATTCATGTAAATTAAATACTAAATTTTTCCACCAGAAGATTCAGTTAATTTAGATGTTTGAGACCATCTTTAAAAAGAACTGGAAGAGTACAGACCACTGAATACACTTGAAATAAGAAGTTAATTCTTCCAATTAAATAGCAGTGACAAACTGATCAAGTGTCATTGTTATGACAATACCATCTAATAGTGGTCTCACATTTCAAAATATTAATTTATGGACATAATGCTGTGGATTGATTTGTAGTTTATATTTCAGCGTGTTTTAAGTTGTAAAACGCAGAACAGTTCAAATTCATTTTAAATAATGAAATATTTGCTAAAAGCTGATTTTATCAATATAATACTTTAAACAAAAGCTCACTGTGATCAACCTAAAGAAACTCCATACATGCAAAATCAATATAATACTTTAAACAAAAGCTCATTGTGATCAACCTAAAGAAACTCCATACATGCCACTCAGTGCATATATATATATATATATCCCACATCTCTCAATTGTATTAATACTTTGCCATTAGGGAGAAATACTTCTCTGCTAATCATACATCAGAAGGCAGCAGTGTTACTTTTGTAACAGAAAGTTTGGCCAACAGAAATAAGAAGTTTAACTTACACAAGCACAACACATGAACACAATGATGAAAGACTCCAGAACTCCAGCTGTCCCCACAATCCATGTTAAACGTAGGAAAAGGATGACTCCCAAGATGTTTTGCAAGCAGGGCAGGTACACGCCAATAAAAGTGCCCATACGTGGAACCTGGAAACAAAACCAGAACATTAATTCCTTTGCACTGAACAAGTCCATAAGCATTTTCTTCCACAAACACTTCACAAATGTCCCATGAACAAATGCCAAGTGAAATTGAAGGCAGACACTCTGAAGCTATCCTTCACAAACATTCATAGGCTATTTATGCAGAAAGGTCCCTGAAAAGACAGAAAACTATTGGTCATAGCAAACCTTCTTGCTCCATAGGAATTAGGATGAAATCTTGATAGGAGTAGGAAGCCCCTTTATCTGTTGATTGCAAAGCTTTACAAACTTTCTTCTGAAATGCCAGTTATAGACTACCATTGAAGAGAAATAACTGCCATAATCAAAATAGCAAATATATTCTGCAAAAAATTGATCACTAGCTGCCCTGCAGCTGGCCCACAGGATATTCAACAATAAGTGTTTTAAGGTTTTAAAAAAAGGACAGACAAGATACTACGAAAAGGCCAGAAGAAACACAGAGCTGACTACAAATTGTTTTGGCAAAAGTTGTAAAGCCTGCCACAACTTAGTATACTTGTTTGTGCTTTTTATCTGCTGGTGATCATCATGGGTCAGGACACACACAAAAGCATTCGGACTTCATCATTTAAGTCCCAGCCTTCTATACTTAAGAAGAAATCAGGTCCTGAAATACTGAGCTGAGAAGCAATAGAAGAATAGAATACAGAAGCTCTTCTTAAATCACAGCTCAAGCTGTGAAAAAAGGTAACAATTTAAATAAATAAGCAAGCATTGCTGCTTTGTAAATTAACAAAATTAGTAAGGAAACACCAAGTTCCCAAGTACTTATAGGGAAACATGGAATGCCATTTAGACTATAATCTTATTTTTAGCTTCTTGGGCAATATTCATGTGCAACATCAATGATACTGTCTCAGTTACGCCATTAAAAACGGTACTCTGCCCAGCTACTGTTTAACCATTAATTTCAGACATGAAGCTGAAAACAGACATGCACAGAAATCATGTTTTCAGGCCACCAGATGGTGCTCAAAGGAGCTGAAATGCAAGTGAGGATGCGGCGTTCATTTGGCTGGTCAGTTCCAGAGGGACCACCACCACGCTGCATTAACAAAACCCCCTGCACGACACACAGCTGGATGGAGGAGAGGGATCACACTAACCAGAGTGTGAGTTAATTGGTGTTCTTTTTCACATATCTCAAGCTGTATCTTCAGATGAGAAAAAAAACAAATAGGAAAAAAAAAAAAACCAACAAAAAAAAGAACAAGCACAATGAGACAAAAAGAAACACCACGTACAAACAAGTGCAGGATAAGCAAAAAGCTAAACCAAACAGCTGGACTTTATTCCTCACCCTTGCCCGTTGTCCTGGCACCAACTTCCTACACTAACGTGAACAGTTCTACAGCAAATATTCAGTTACCATAACATAAGTCTCTCTTCCAGTCAAATAAGCTCCAGTCATAACCTTCCTTTCAAGCACCTTTTCATATCTGTCTCTTTTGCTATATGTTTATTTCCTTTTATTCATTCTTACGTCCTTCTCCTTTCTCCACAGCTCAGCATACAAACTCATAGCAGCACCCCTTCTCCTACACACAGAGGTAAGTGACTCCCAGCACTCTCCTTTTCCCAGTATCCACTGTAAATTTCTTAGCTCAAACACCATGCTCAACCAGTTCCAGCTCATCATCCCTGGAAGCTTTTCTCCTCAGGTCACATGTTTTTGATCCAAGGTTCCTCCTTCCGAAACAGGTCGCTGCTCCCAGAGGGATCAATCCAACACCTCATTGCAGACTGACTGCTGGATACGTTCCATTTCCACAGAGGCCTAGGCAGGCCCTTCAGCTACCCAGTAGATAACCCTTGAAGAATTCAGTTGCTGTCATCTAGCAAGCATGTTTTGGGATGCGCCAAAAAGAGCCTTTGACTTTCCTTCCTTCTCTCCCACCCCCCATTAAATACCATATTTTTGAGGTGTGCAACAAAATGTTTTATTGGAATGCGTCCATTAAGTTTTAAAAATACTTACTCTGACACACTGACACAAGAGAGCCATTCAGAAAAGTTGCTACCCATGTTAACAGGAGCAAATATCCTTATGGATTTAAGAGTAATCTGTTCTATCTCAAGTTTTCCTTAAATTTCAACTTTAAGCAAAAACCCAGCCAATTAAAATGCATTAATAAACCAGATAAAATAAAATAAAAAAATTATACTGGATCCTCACTAGAGGTAGACAAAAAGTACTGACACTCATGCAAGGACTGAAGGAAGAAGAAAAGAAAGGAAAAGGAGTCTGGGCACACTGCATGTTTCAGGTCTTGGCTTTGCATGCCTTTTGTCTAGGGCTTGAGCAAGGGCTCACTAAGACGTGCTAACAAGAGCACCGAATCCACACAAGCCCTACTACAAGCACTTCCATTTTAAATTCAGTATTACAAGTCTCACTCCTCTTTTTAGGCATCCACATATTTTCTTTTTAGGTTGAAAAAATGCTTTGTCTCAATAACTTATTAGAAGTTTAAATACCTTGACTTCCTTTCGCTTGCTGTCTTCATCTGCTTCATGTTCCACCACACCTTGAGTCAGATTAGTGTAGTTTGCTAGTTTATTAAGAAGAGATGACACCATAGGATTACTATCCATTTCTTCCTGTTGGGATTTTAAGAATACTGCATTTATTAAATAATTTTCTTCAAAAGTCACAATTTTATGATACTACTTCAAACACATACTTAACAGGGCATTCAATTCACCATTCCATTCACCCAATTTGCCCAAATCCAAAAATTAACATGACAAAATACCAGTCAGCTTTCAACAAACAAAGAGTTCCACATCTTTCTAGAAGTTTAACACTATAAGGCTATCTTGCAATATTTCTTTCACTTTTTTACACTGCCTCACAATATGCAGCTTGTAGAGCTGCAATACAAAGGGAAATCTAGAGAAGGGACATCATTAATTATAAAAATCTATTTCTATCACAACAGGGGTTTTAGGGATTGTACTGGCAGGACTGAGTCATTAGGACGTTTTTCCAGCATCTTGCTTATGTCTAGAGAGTGGTCTCAAATTATTCTCTCAAGCTTCAAAATACTTAAGGGTCACTCTCAAGCCTACTGTTGCAGGCTTACATATTTTATCTTAAACTATGCATACTACTTCCAAAGTATTAATTTGTTGAAAACACAGGCAGATACACATATCATTTATAATATTACTTTACACAGAATTCAGCCCATCCTCCTGTAGCCAAATATCTGCTACAAAACAAAACATGCTAAAATAAACAGTAAAATCCAGGAGAAGCATATATAATAAAAGTATTTGAGAAAAGCAGAACCAGAGAATTCAATCAAGTATGCAAGATCAAATACCAGAAGGAAGACAAGAGATCAGGATTGCAAAGACAAAAACTAAGGCATCTCTGCCTGAGGCATCAGGTCATGATAATCATGGTTCTAACAGCCAAACTTCTTTGTAACAGTTTATACAAAAATTCAAACAAGCCAGCTGAAAACATGAGAAGAATAAGATTGAGGGAAACATGCTATGAAACATATATACTACCAAAAAAGATTCATTACGGCCACAGCAATGGTGATGAAGTCATTAGAAGCCTTTCAAGGTAACAGTATAACAGCATGACCTATAATCCGAGATATGTAAAAGATAGTCATCATTATACCATCAGCTGAGGATTTAATGTTAGCCACTATTCAAAATAACTGCTGCAAGCATATATTTAAATGAGATTAGGGACAAAAAGCAGCTATGGCAAATTTATCAACGCTGAGGTATACGACAACTAGTTTGAAACACAAGGCATTTTGGTCATTGCTTTATAGAATAGAGCTTGAAGGATAGAAATTCAGTGACAAAACTCCACTGCCATGGTTTCTTTCAAAAAAATCATAAGAAATTCCATACATAACAAAGACAATCAGTGGCCAACATTACTTTGATCCTTAGCACAATCTTATCTAAAACTTAGTGAAAAATAGTAAAAATACTATTTTTCACTCTTTGTTTGGGTCATGCAGAAAGAGGGAACTGAAAGATCATGTTCTCTATGCGAAGATATTAGAAAGGAAGAAGAGATGAGTGCAAGAGGATGTCAAGAAAATAGTGGGTAGAATGCAACAACAAGATGGCTAAGCAAACAATGCTGGAAGGATCTTGTTCATCGTTAATAGCAAGCATCAAAGCAAGACCAGTTGACACTACTTAGAGCGGAAGAAATTAGGGTGCACTTTAATAAAAGCACTATTTCATTGAAAAAGTGGCACTTAAATGTAAGATATATTATATATAAAAATATATTATATTATAATATATTATATTATATATAATATATAAAAATATATTTGGACTTTAATAAAAGCACTATTTCATTGCAAAAATGGCACTTAAATGTAAGATGTACCATAAAAATATTTATTTTTTTTTCTGAAAAGGATTGCAATCATTCAGTGAATTAAACAGGTATTAAACTTGTATTATAAAGTAGATGTTTATCTTGGAAAGTAGAATTAGCTATGGTATGCTCTATGCTGTAATTGGACAATATTACATATAACATAGGTTATCACAGCTGGTTTTATAGTTTTGCTGCTTTAAGAGCAGTCGGTATTTCTCCTGTTCAACTTATGTTTTCTAATCCTTTTAAAGCTGGATACTACTTTGCTAAACCCCCACTTTCAGAAGCTTTCTCTGACAACAATTTCTAGATCTTAGTCCGAAAATTTTAAATGCAAGAAGGCTTATTTCATATCTTCATATCAATGTTTACCAAAGGTACTGCTCTTGCCTACACAGATAAACGGAAATATAGAAGGAAAAAAGTTGTAGCACTTTTTTTTTTTTAATTACATCATTCAAACCCACTGAAACATAATGTCAGCAGGAACCAAACTACTAAAGACTTATTAAAATTGATCCCTCTACCCCTAAATTTCAAGAGAATGAAAACAAGCATTTACTTGTTTTTTTCTTACTACCAGAGACTCAATTGAAGGTAAAATGTTTTCGGAGTATTTAACTTACCTCAAAGAGAGCCATGTTCTTTCCTTCATACATGTTTCCTCTGTCCACCTCTGCGCTGTCAATAAATGGACTACTCTCCCTGGCAACCCCATCCCCTGGTGGAAAAGAGCAACAGTCAGAAACAAAAGGAAAAAAAAAAAAAAAAAAGACAAGGTATACAATAAAAGGAATAGTAGAAAATGCTGGTTCTAAGTAACACTGGAAGTGGCTGCCAAACACTGTGTCTTTGTCCCAGGCACATGGACTCAACGTCCACATTTAAGGAAATGAAGTTTCCTTTAACAGTTTAATCTTTGTACAGTGTTCTCTCTCTTAATTATTAGTTACTATTCTTTAATACATATGCTGATCTCTCCCCTGCCCCATCTTTTCAGTTTACATAAAAGCACTTGATAATAGAATTTCACATAAGCAACAAAAAAATCCAACCTACCTTTTCATTACTTTACTGACTCACTTAAAAAAAAATGCAGTACTTGAGGCAGGAATTTATGAAAAAAAACAAAACAAAACAACAAAACAACAAAAAATGTAAAAGGAATTACTTTGTAAAGGTTGTGGAGCCTCCTCCATGACATACTACATTTATTCTATTCATTATTGAAATATCAATCTCATTAAGCTGTAGCTCCCCACACTTCCTCTGGCATACCTCTCTAAAAAATATAGCATCACTTTCACTGCCTTCCAACCCAAGTAACACAAAAGCCATTACATGCCAATACTGTCACATCACTGACATTTCCAAGTAGTCTCAAGTCCTTGCCTATGTCACTCTTGCCCTTTATATTCACCAGTTACAGCAACAGCACCTACACAGTCTCTTCACTATAAAACTAAGGAACATCTGGAGAACAAGTCGTATTCTTTTCCCTGTGTCCTCCACTCTGCCCCCTTTAGAATCACAGAATGGTTTGGGTTGGAAGGGACCTCAAAGATCATCGAGTCCCAATCCCCTGCCCTGGGCAGGGACACCTCCCACCAGACCAGGTTGCTCCAAGCCCCATCCAGCCTGGCCTTGAACCGCTCCAGGGATGGGGCAGCCACAGCTTCTCTGGGCAACCTGTTCCAGTGTCTCACCACCCTCATAGTAAAAAATTTCTTCCCGAGATCTAATCTGAATCTTTTTTCTTCCAATTTAAAACTGTTTCCCCTTGTCCTATCATTACACTTCCTGGCAAAGAGTCCCTCCCCAGCTCTTCTATAGGCACCCTTCAGGTATTGAAAGGCCACTAGGATAGGCCTTTAGGATATTTCTCCCCACATGCAGCCCCTGAATAAAGCTCTTTTAAACACGGGCACCCATTTCAGAACAAAGTATTATTTTTGTGTAATAAAGACAGAAATAGATCTCAGTTCCTCAAGCAGATGAGAGACTACATCCCTGACAAATTTCCTACCATGCTCCATAGCTCTTGCGTTGGATAGACTCTCCAAAGTATCACTACACTGTGACAGAGAAGCCAAATACTATCATAAGGGAAGACAGCTATTGTTCATTAGGGCTCTAGAATTAATTCCACGATTCAGAGAAGAACTGTTGATGAGTTCATCCACAACTACTGCTCTTCTCCAACGTATCCGTATCCTTCAGCTTTTATTTTTCTGCAGATTATAATTGGTCCCCTATTGCTTCATGTCCTACAGCCTGGCTAGGTGCCCTTTCTCCAACAACACTTAATGCAAGGCCAGCAGAAGAAGCATGGTGAACACAAAAGACTCCCCCTCATGGAACAGCACCTCAAGATGTTTCACAGTGCGTGGAACATGCTGCTGTGGCAGAAGACTGTCTGAGGAATTGGCATTTATTCTTTAATCAGCCATGGTACTTAGAGAAAGGTTCGGTTAGCTTTTCTGTACACAAGAGCAACTCTGTCCCCAAGCTGATTCCTCTCATCTTCTTGCTAAAGCGTTGAACAACTAGAGCGTAGAGCAACAAGCACCACAACTTCTTAGTTAAGACATTGCACTTTCTTCCCAAGATTTTTGGAGCATTGCTTTTCTTTTATATCCATTCTTTGAAGTGACCATGTTATTTTTGCTGAAGTTTTCACAATGCATTCGTTACAAGGCAAATTCCCAAGCTAAAATAAAAATAAGATTGCTTGATATTTGTATTGATAAGACCACAGTCCTATCGATTTTCTTGCCTACTGGCAGCTGGTAGCTGTATTTACTAGCTAAATATTAGTACTCCCTTCAGGGTACTTCCAATCCCTTCAGAAAGGGTTATTCTTTAAGTAAGCTGAGGAATTCCAAGTCCTGGTTTGCATCTGTATGAGTGCAATGTCACTGGAGTGGGTATCATACCCTAATCAAAAGGGTAGCCAAACAAATAATGCGAATCAGCATTTGCAATTCTGAGATTAAAGAATGTAGTTCTGTCTTACCACTTGTGGAGGTAAAAAAAATAAATAATAATAATCAGCATCTCAGCAATGTACATTAACTCTTTTAAAATGTGGGTAGGAGAATTGTGAAGTCTTCCTTTATATGCTTGTGTTTCTAAACAAGTTACTTGGCTTTGCTCCAACAGAAAAAAAAAAGCTCAGAGCACACTGCCTTTAACAAATCTAGGCAAATACACCCAACAGACTTCAAATGGAAAAAAACACAGAACTCAGGTTTTCTATTCTTCAAATCCTTTATCAGCGTTTCCAACCAATATTCTACCTATTTTAAAGCTTTCTAATGCTACTCTTCAAAATAGCCTGTCACTACCAGACTATAGAAGTCTCCTGTTTCTTTAATACAGTGGTCTCTTCATATTTTGTAAATGCTTGGTACAGTATTTAACATGATCAGCATTAGCCCTGTTTGAAAGAGGATCAATGCTGAAAAAGTGACCACAAAAACATGCTGAGAAGTACTCTCTCATCTGCAGCTTTTTGACCAATCCAACAATTATGAACACCTTTGAACAAGCTCCTTTGAATTTTCAGTCAACAAAATCACATTGCCTGTAAATTAAAAACGCCACCTTTGGGAGAATGCTTTTATAAGATGCTCAGAAATACAGGAAGCCTTACAAACATGTAACTCAAACTGAGACATGTTACACCATCCAGTAGAAAGAACTAGTTTTAGGATCTCAACACACAGTCAACAACTATAATGAGGTTAACAAAATAAGCTACTATCCCAATCTTTAGCTCATCCTTTCTTCAAAAGAAGGGATTCATTACAAAAACCAGAACTGAAAAAAACAGACAGGATTTACACTTTTCACAAATGCTGTAAACATCACCACTGGTGTATCAAGTGAAATACAGCAAATAGAAAAAACTATTTCAGTTGCTTTCCCTGAGGTAACATGGAACATAGAAGTAGGTATGTCATTCCACTAGTAAGTCTCAATCTACTTAGAGCTTTATGTTTTAACCCTATTTCCTTGAATTCTATGACAAAGCGTAAAGATAATCAAATCATAGAATATTTATGTTAGAAGAGACTCTTAAGATCAGAGTCCAACTGTAAACGTAACAATACCAAGTCCAACACTAAGCCATGTCCCTCAGCACCACATCTACATGTCTTTTAAATACCTCCAGGGATGGTGACTCAACCACTTTCCTGGGCAGCCCATTCCAGTGATTGACAAGCAAATCATCTTTCTTTCCTTCAGGCTTCTTTGAAATTGCATCAACTCAAACTCCTTTAAGGTGTACAGTCGAGTTAAACATACAATAAAAGGGATAGCTTCCAACTAGTAGTTTTAGACATTCTTCTAAGCTGCACATGTCTTCTGGAATCCAATTAAAGCACTCCAAAAAAAAAAATCTATACTTAGTGTTGTTTGATTTCTGAAAATAACTCAAGTTATCAGAGTTTACAGGCAAAAAATATTAGATCTGGACTAAATTAGTAGTCCATCTAAGCCAGTATTTCATCTTGGACCATCACAGATACATAAGAAAAGCAAAATTAAAAAAAAAAAAACATAAAAAAGGCAAAATAAAACAACAAAAGTCATCTATGAGCTTGATTATGGTATAAGGCTTCCTCTGTCTTACAACACACACAAAAAAAAGCTCACCTGTTGGGTAGAACGGAGTGTCACATCCACATGACGTGATCAAAGCTTAAGCTCTATAAATAAGAGCTCCCCCAAAATATATAGTTTAAAGCTATTATTACTATTTTCGATCTGGTATGGAACATTCACACACCATAGCACAACTCTGTGCTTACTGATGGACCAGTAGACAAACTAAAGCCATAACTCACGTACCTTTCCTAGAAGCCTGACTGGTATTTTCTGTGTTGAGGGGAACATGCAATAATTCCTGCTCGTGATTTCTACAGACCCTCAAGCACTGCAATGGGTGTAGCTGTATTTACATGGAAACTGGCTGCATCAAATTACATTTCTTTTATACATGAGATAAACAGCTGCAAGCAGAGAAAGTATGAGACATCTTAAGTCTGGAAGGTAATACTCAGAGTGTTTGTGCAGATGACCACAACGTGCACTCCCACACACCCCAGCCCCCCAGCTGCCAACACAGAGTACACCAGCACAAGCTGTGCCAGCCCCACGTTTACAACTGTCAATGCCACAGGTGATTTCTCATCAACATTTCCACACTCCATACAGAACCTACACCAGAAACATGTCTGCAATAGCACAGTTCAAAATGTTGGTCAGAGATGCAAGAGACTTTGTTCAAACTCATATTCCTCGGAAGTTTAAGAGCAGCAACCCTCACAAACACTGAGAGGTAGAATACTTTTAGGTATGTTACTGGTTAACAATTTCCAAGTTGATCCAAATGGATTTATTTTATACAGTGTAAACCAGAACCAAACAGCACAAGTTAAACAGGCAGAAGCCACCTTTGCCACTGAAGAAGTGGCCCTGTGATCCCCCTCTCACACATACAACTCACCCATTTGTGTCCCTGATCGCACTGTTCCTCACACAAACACAACCATATATTGTAAATGTAACAGTGGTGTGCGCTGAGACATTTTGCTTTTGTTTTTATTCTTACTGCTACTTTTAATCCAACCAAGTTCACTTGTTCACCACACAAATGTCGTGACTAGAGACACCATCAGCGTAGGAATGAGCAAAACCACTTCCCTAGCATTG